GTTGGGTCGGGTGATTTTGAAGTTTTGGGTTTGCTGGCATTTTTTCCATACCCCCAAATAAACTGTTAATATTAAAGGGGCTATTTTTGGGTTTTTCCCCCCCCCCCCCCCCCCCAGCTATATCGTGCTCTTATAAGAGCAGATCAAAGCGTCCCAGTATAATATAATTAGACAGTTGAATAATTCAGTATAGATGCCATGCCCTGCATCTTATCTCAATAACTCTTTGTTCGATCCTTGAGCTATATCTAGGTCTATTGGGTCTTACACTGATGGTGAAACCCCGCATCGACTCCAAGGGGGAAAAACTATGTTCCATCCTGGATGCTTGGCGATGACCAAGCTCCTGTCCCAATGGACATTGGGCATGCGGCTGATGGAATGTCGTTTCCTTGTCTGACTACCTTTAACGGCGGATTGTTCGATTGCTGAACACGTCGACGCATCAGCCAGAGTCAACATCGAGGATTGGCTCAAACTGTCATCAGACGACACGGCTGAGCGAGCACAACAATCTGACGACCAGCTAGATTTCCTTATGCCCGACGACGAGCATCGCAGCATCAATGTTCCCGAGGGCGTTGATAGCAATGAATTTGGCGCCACTCACGAGGAATACAGCCATGACAGCGACCCAAGTCAGGATGAGACAGTGAGGGAAGGTGTCGGGAGCGAAGGACTAGACGAAAAGAAGAGCCAAGGACCAACCAAGGAAGAGCAACATCAGCTCATCCAACGGTTTTTAGCAATCAATAATCTCCTCACTCTCGAGTCCACCTTTGTCGGGAACATGCGGGTTGTCCGGGACATATACAAAGGAACTACCGAAGCATGTCCTAAATTGGCACCCGAATCGGCTATGCTCATATTCAGAAATATTGACGAACTTGTCGACTTTCACTTTTCCTTCTTTTTCCGGCTTCGGTTCGTAGCTTTGAGCTACCATCCATCAAACCCCCGGCTGTCAGCTCAGCCGCAGAATACAAAGGAGATAACCATCGCATCCGACCCGACGAATAACCCCGATGGTCCCGAAGATGCCGAAGATCGCCAAACCTCAATCGGCTGCCTCTTTGTCCAGCACATGGAGCAGATGGAGGCAGTCCATGAGGATTTTTCTCGCGGGAGTGACCTGGCAGCCGTTTGTTTACGTGTGGTTCAAGATGACCCGGCTGTCAAGATCTGGCTTGATGAATGCAATGAAGTTGCAAGCCATCTGGTTACTTGCCCCCAACTTGATCTATTATTGGAGATGCCACTCCAACATATGGCACGGTATCTGGTTCTCATCGACAAATTACTCCAATTCACGCCGGCGGATCACCCAGACAGGCCATCTCTCATGTCGACACGCACAAGTTTAGAAGCTGTCCTGCCTTCCTCAGGGACTGTGACCATTACGCCAGAGGAGTCTCTACATGCGCCCACGACAAGTTAGAGATTGAATGGTGACAGTGCTGCAGGGGCAGACGTAGTCCAGTGTGAACACCGCAATTGGGTAATTACATCCTAGGTAGCAGACGAAACGAAGGCAAACAAAACGAACCTCCCCCAACTTTGTGCCAAACCCCCCTCAACCCAACCACCCCCTCAAATCCTCAAATAAGCCTCCTCATACCTAAACCCATCAACCCTCACCTCATACCCCCCCGAAACACCGACCCTCCTCTCCAACTTCTTGAACCCGACAATCGGTCTCCGCACCGTCACCACCCTCCCATCCGGCAACGCCCTGCGGCTCTCGATCGTCACCTCCGGGTCGAGAACCGTCAGGGCCACGAGCGCGAAGGCCTCGACGCCGAGTACGATCCACGTGGCGGGCGAGCTCGGGCCGCGCGTCACGGCCAGGGCGATGACGAGGGCTGTGAGCGGGAGGGCGACGGCGAGGGCGAGCCAGCGCGGCCAGGGGCGGTTGTACATTGTTTGCGGCATTGCGTTTGCTGGTCGGGTAGTGAGGGGACGGGGATGGTGGGGTCGGTGGTCGGATCTGTTTGGGTTTAAGGATTGATCTGCAGTGGTTGGAAGAGCGGTGGGCTGCGGGAGCCAAATTGATGAGCGAATGCTGGGTGGGCTGTTTTGCGGATACGTACCTGTAATTACGTAGTAAGGGGGGCCTTGGGCGCTGTGGTGCCGATCTTGATCTGCAGCTGAGTGAGAATGTGTACTGTCGATCTCGATTTGCGGTTCAGTGGCGATGCGGTTTGCTGCTGCCTGCCTGGCTGCTTGACTGGTTGTTTGGTGACACGTGAGACGGACTAGGTAAAAATGGGAACGAGGTAGGATTGATTACGGAAGAAGAAATGGAAAAGTCACTTCGGAGTATGAGATGGTTAAAAGGAATGGAACTTGAATTTGTCAAGACTGATCTGCAAAAACTGCCCGGGATTCAATCCTCCAACAGCGGGCTCTTTTACTGGATGGCCCAACTTCGGGCCCTAAAGGAATGGCGTCGAGGTAAATAAATCACACTGCATCCATTGGTTGCTGCCACTGCATCCATCCATCCATCCATCTAGCAGTCCTGTCCGCCCGTCAGCGGCATGCCCTGGGGCTCAAAGCCCTCCAGTCCAGAGTCGACGCTGTTGTCGGCGAACATGCCGATCGAGGCAAACCCGAAGGTGGCCTCGTTCGCCTGGTCGTACATCTGCACCGACATGACGTTGCCGTCGGGCCAGTCGCCGCCCATGCCGCACTGGATCTCGTCGTCGATCTGGCCGAATCCGCCGGCGCCGTCAAACGAAATCGTCGCCGGGTCGGCAAGCGATGCCCCGCTGTCGAATCGGCCCTCCATCAGCCCGGACGACAGCCGCTCGTGCTGGTAGAACTCGTCACGCTTCTCCTTGCTGGCGAGGTGGGTCGCGTGTCCCTCGTACGATATGGTGAAGTGCATCCCGTTGTCGCCCGTGTCGCGGGATGTCATCTCCATCCTGCCGTACTTCTTGTGTCTGAACCGGAACATGGGCGCAAGCGGGTGCTCCGTCGATGCCCTCCTGGCCAGCTTGTGGTTGTCGGGGGCGTAGCCGGCGAACTCCAACTCGCCATCAGCCAGGCTGCTCAAGGCCCGGTACACGAAGTGGTTGTGCGCCTTCTGCCTGATGGCTTCTGCGCCCTCGATGCCTCGCTTATCAAACACGTTGAGTGCGATGCTCTCCAAGCCAGAGTTGTCCCAGGCATTCGCAGCAACCCCAAGATAGCCGCGGGACTTGGCAAGGTTCTTCGCGGCCGACGCGATGCCGCCAACACCGATGATGGTGCTGATCAGACCGCCGACGCAGAACAAAATATTGTCCGTCTCTCCCTCATTCTGGACGCAGCCTTTGATGGTGCCAGCAAGACCGATGCCGGTCAGAGCGAGGTTGAACACCTGGTATGCCACGCCAAGGAAGAACGGAATGGCAAGAGCCACCGTGCCGTCCTCGGCTTTGCGCGTCTGGCCCAGAGCCATGACCTCCTTGCTGACTGCAACAGAGGGGTCGCTGAGGTTGTGGAAGAGACCATTCCAGGTGTCTGGCGAGCCCGGATCATGGATACTCCAATCAAACCCGGCAGGGGTCCATTTGTCGACGACGGCGAAGACCGGAAGCCCAAAGGCTAGGAGAGCCAGGCAGAACAAGACGCCGAACTGCTTAGCCATGACTGTAGGGAAGCAAAGTAAATAGAGATATATTGGTATACTTCTTGGTAGCCTCTTTGAAGCCTGCTTGAAACCTACTACAAAAGGCTTCAGGAAGACGAGATCGAGGAACGCTCTTATATACACCCTCAGTCGCTAACAACAGCGTTTCTCACTGCTACGCTCTTCAAAGGCTCACTTTCACAGCCCCGCCCCATTTGACGGGTCTGGGATCCTTCGTTGGAGTCCGAAATCCTTCGTCTCAGTAACCAGTCACTCAGATTGGCTCTTGCTGGATCGTCGTGAGAGACCATGGGGCGAATCTTGTAAGCGCTAGGCTATGGTTGCCTCGAAAGGCATGGCGGCACACCCTCTGAGGTCGAACGCCAAACCTCATTCTCAAGCAACGGCACGCGCCGTAGGGTAAGTCCGTTGCCTATGCGCAGTCACCAGCTACGTCATTTTAGGGCAAGCGCGGCAGTGATCTACACTGTTTTGGCGGTTAGATGGGGTGCATCACGGTATGAAATCAGGAAATCAAGTTACCTTCAAACTCCACGTGTAGAAGATAGGCAGGTCGATGCCGCAATGCCGTCCCTGTGCCGTCCTCGACGACCTTGTTGGGCAGGTCGCAGGTCGATGATATGCCGGATTGGGCTGGAGAGGGCGGGGAAAGAGCCGTCCCATCCGCCAACATGCATGTCAAGCTGCCGGCTGTAGTGTGGCGGTGGCAGAGGCAGAGGCGGAAGGATTGTCTGGCTCCGTGGGAGGGACACGATCGGCGTAGGTCGGGGGCGAGGCTGCCAGTCCAACTGCAATGCCAACGACCGAGTGGACGGGGAGGAGTACGCTGCTTCGCCGGGCAAAAACATGTCCTCTGCAGATCACCTCAGGATCAGCAGTCTGTCTGATCTAAGCATGACCCACGTTCCGGGATTCCGCCGAATATCAGCAGCTCCTAGAGAGTTGAAGAATTCGGTGAAGGAACGAGATACTCTCCGACCTTGACAGGATATTGGAGACAAGGTTAGAAGAAGGTGATGGGGGAGAAAGCGTGATCCTTTTCGGCAGGGTCCCAGTTTTCGATTAAGTCAGCCCACCCACCAGTAATCGTTCAGTCCCGAGTCGGAAGCGGAAGCGAGAGGCCGCAGGTAATAGTATACATACCTTGTGGAATTGATGATGGATTTCAAGGATTCTATGGAAGCTGGCGGGCAGGATCTCTGTTTCACCCTAACTAGAAGGTTGGCAACCGCAGTGCGTCATCTCTCTGGGGCCAGCAGAGAGAATAGCCAGACGAAACCGCTGAATACAGCCTCGCAAGTCCAAAGAACCGCCATAGCTCCCTTTGTGTGTGGCTGCAAGCCCTCGCGAAGGGCACGCTCGCCGAGCACGCCCATGTCAAAGATAAGAATACACAGCCACTTGTCTTTTCTTGGTTAACATTTTGAAACTGCAAGTGTAGCTAGTTCAAGTCGAGAAAAATACCTACTTGTTTGAGAAGTACTGAAGCCAGATAACCATGTGATGCGGATGAAGCAGCAGAAAAATAGTAGGGATGCGTAGAATAAAACTAGCAGCAGAAGAGAGAGGCCTTAGTAAATGATACTCGAATACTCAAAAGGATCAAGCAATACCAGACAATGGGCACATACCTGTGTCGCTAAATATATGTTCAGCTCTACAATCACACAAGCTGAGGATGTTTTGAAGAGCCATTTCTGGAGATGTGAGGTAATTATCACAAGAAAGAGTGAATTGTGTCTCGATTGCTCAATTGTCGTACAGGGGTAACCCTTCCTCTTATACAGATCCGGATAGATCCATGGATAGTGTAATACTAGATGGATTGTGCACTCGCAGGAGGCAACCGAAGGCTGACGCCCGTCTCGGCAAACTCAAGGGACGTGACTTGAAGTTGCTTCTTGGTTCCCGACACCTTAATTCACCGTACCTATTCTGGCAAATAACCGCACGGTATGTCAGTTTGTCCAAATATGGTCAGTGCTTCAGTCTTGGAAAAGGCACCTGCAATTCTTCTCACAAACCCTCTGTCGATAAGCCTTGTCAAGAATTCTGTGTATAACCCGGAGGTTGGCGGGCACTTGGGCCAAGCGGCAATCAAGATGGTTGTTCAAGGACAAGTCCATAGCGATGTCTCCCAACAGCTCATAGATGTTTAGTTGGATCTTCAGTGGCATGCTCAAGAGTAATGGCTTTGTCGATGAGGGTTGCTGCTGGAGCTCGGATAGGAGGCCTGTTATAATGGAAGCCATGGTCAAGTTTCCGCCTGACCACCAAGGCATTAGATCGTACTTCGGCAGAGTCCATGATCAAGCAAGTCTCGGGAAACCCAAGCCCAAACCGTCTTCTCGGTCAAGGCGTTGAGTTTTGGCAAAAACTCAATGACAGGTCCGTTCCGTTTTGGTCCGTTTCTACCGTTGCGTAACGTTTGTGGTGGTGAGGGGCGTGTGGGTGGGCGAACCCACAGCCAGCTCCGTCTCAACGGTCGGTACCCTGGCTGATGACCCCCATGCTCCTGTGTGAGGTACACAGCATGTACAATATATGCGTACAGGGCGCTATTCAGCTTGAACCAAGACAAGGTACAGCACCTTGAGGTGGGATTTCATCCCGAGTACGGAGTACAGTGGGTACCTGCTCACTAGCGTAACTGATAAGTCACGTTTTACTCCGTAACCTATGACATGCACTGTCAGCGGGTCCACAATAAACAACTTCGGCATAATCCTCCCCCACCTCGACCTTGGAAGAAAGTCGCACTCTCCCTCCTCCCCATATTACCCCCGAACCACCAGCCAGAGGCCAGATGTAGCTCCCTCTCTCCACCATGTGTTGCACTCCCATCTCCCGGCGATCCGACTTCCTCCAGCCATGTCGTCCCCAAAGTCGGCCAAGTCGCCGAAGTCTCCCAACTCGCCCCACTCGCCCGAGTCTACCCCCTTGGCCGGTGCGCCGGCGGCCGACACAGCTGCTGACGCGATTGAAGCTGTGAGTTAGAGTTATTTAGAACCTTATCGCCTTCTGTTTCGCGTCAGCCATGTTCCGTGTACTTACCAGCTGTCTTGCATGACAGGACACCGCCGAGGTCGACTCTGCCTACGCCGAATCGTAAGCCCGTCATGTCTCCCCCGCGTCGCAATTGCTTTTGAAACAGGACACAGTTCAAGAGCGACCGACACCGAGTCGCTGAGGTCGTCGATTTTGCAATACAAGTGGGAGCATGGAAGGAGGTATCACTCGTCCCACAAGGATGCATACTGGTAAGGGCTTGCCATCCCTGGAGGCGCCGGCGGGGAGGAAACTAACTTGGGTACTCAACGGTAACAGGGCTCCCAATGACGACAGACAACAAGAGGCCGAGGATCTCGTGTATGTCCTCTGCAGCCAGTCCAAAACCCGAGGACTGCGTCTCCCAGGCCGCGCCTGATAAGATACCCAGCCACGCAATGCATCGCATTATCCTCGATGGCAAACTCTACCTCGCCCCAATCCGAGAAGACCCTCACGTACGCCTTCCCCGCTCCATCCTCGCTTTCTGACGCTTACTCCGGCCATAGAATGTGCTCGACCTCGGCTGCGGCACGGGTATCTGGGCCATGTGAGTTTCCCACCTCTTCCATGTCTCCCCTGCACAGAGAAGCAAATATCAAGTCTGACAAAAACCCTTCCCCTGCATTAGAGACTTTGCCGATGAGCACCCGTCAGCTCAGGTTATCGGCGTCGATCTGTCGCCCATCCAGCCGAACTTTGTGCCGCCCAACTGCCGCTTCGAGGTCGACGACGTCAACAATGACTGGACATACGCGGTGGACCATTTCGACTTCATCCACGTCCGCTCCCTGACCGGGTGCGTGCCAGACTTTGTCGAGTTCCACAACAAGGTGATGAAGTGGGTCGTCCCGCCCTAGCCCCCTCCGACACCCCCTCGCATGCTGAACAACCCCCCTCTCCGGGGCACGCAGACACCTCAAGCCCGGCGGCTGGGTCGAGCAGGTGGAGATGTCGGGGCTCGCGCTCTCGGACGACGGCACGGTCAAGCCCGGCTCGGCGTTGGCGCGGTGGTGGGACATCTTCATGAAGGTGGGCGACATCATAGGCAAGGACTTCAAGGGGTGCGAGGTGGCGCGCGAGTCCATCGAGGCGGCCGGCTTCGTTGACGTGCGCGAGCACGCCATAAAGCTGCCCATCGGCACCTGGCCCAAGGACAAGAAGCTCAAGCAGTGGGGCGCCTGGAACCGCATGTTCCTCATGGAGGGCCTTGAGGGCTTTGCCATCAAGGGGCTGGTTTCCGTGCTTCAGGTGAGTAGATGGGAATTAGGTACGGAGAAAGAGGGAAACCCAAATGTGTACTGACGGGGGTTGAATTTTGCGCGATAGTGGTCTTATGAGGAGGCACAACTGTACTTGAGCGACATGCGCAAGGAGTTGATGGATCCGCACATCCATGCGTACCCCTACGTGTGAGTACTCATACCCCGTCCTACCCATCCTCTCTACGCAAGTGACTAATCGGTTGCGTCCCAAAATACAGACGAGTCGTCAACGGCCGGAAGCCAGAAGCCTCCAAGTCCGAAGCCTAACTTACGACGAAGTCCATTTGGGCCGCTTGGCTGCTTGGCGCGCAAAGAAGAAGGTCTCAGCTGCACCGTTTGAGGCGGATCATTGCGTCATTGCCTCATCCTAACAACACACACACACGCATTCTCATCACTGCCGTTGCGTGTCTTGGGGAGAAGAGGCGTAGGGTTGGAGCGGAGGCCATCACTCCGGAGTCGGGGTTCGTCTCGCTTCCGCCCCCACCCGCTACCCCAAATGCTCTCCGCCAAGCCTGTCGTCCACGTATGACGCATTCTTTTTTTGGGGGAAAGACCTGATAGGAAAAGCTTTGAACTTGCAGGACCGCTTCTTCCTGAAATTGACCGTGCTGTTCTGACCTGTCACAACTCGGACTGAGTCGCGGGCGAGTCGCAACTCGCCGCGGACATGACCCCGCGCGTCTGTGCACGTTCTTTTGGTTCGGGACGGTCCGCGAGTGGGGGGCTAGCCTGAGAAGCTACCCAATACGCGGCAGTTGATTGGTCACCCAATCCGTTAGTGAACTTGGCGCGCTAGAAAAAGCGGGAAACCGTTGGGACCGTTTTTGCTGTGCTTCATCAAGCAACATGAAGTTGGAATTGGCGGGCAAGTCGGGCTCATGTCAGTCATTGGTGCTGCTACGAAGTTTGCGGGAGGAAGCAGGTTACGAGAGCACAAACAATGTACCGTGCGTGTTGCGTTCGGGTGATGGCATGGCCTGTTGCTCTACGTTTTCCGTTATGAACAAAACGGTTGAAGTCGTTGGCGTGGAGCGGAGACCCTTGCATCGACTTGGCCCAGGCCGGTTAGGCTCCTGCACTCCTTCACATGGCGCAATAGTCTAATCCTGTGCCATTGCTCCGGCCATGGCGAGCTGGGGGTGAAGAAAGGGCACATGCTGTCACCCCATCCGCGTGAGGCCATGGTGTTCCTTCTCCCATTGTGCATCGCCAGGGACTCCCAGGTCAGCCTTGGCTTCGACACGACCCCTGGCCATCCACGGCTGCAACGCGGGTCAGCGAAGTCATACTTGTCATATTCACCCTCTACAAGTTCTCACCCACAACCTCTATTTCCGCTAGGAGTACCCGCCCCTACGTACTGGACCGTCCCCCGATGTCTGACTTGGAGCACGCACAAGTCCGCCTCGACGGCGACATGTCCGATTGCCCGTAGTGCGCAGAGAGTAGGTTGCTGTGCGAGTGAGGGTCGACGGCGAGTTCGCCTAGTGCACTCGGGACGCCGGACGCCCTCGACTAGCCGCCGCTGGTCCCTTTCGTCCCGCACAGATGTGCTGTGAGATGGCCGGACGGGGTGCGGCCTTCTCTCCGTAGTAGCGGCAGGGGAGACAGCGGTAGACACGAGAAGCAAGTGACAGGAACACATGGAAACCGACTAGTGATTGGTAATATCACAAGGAGAAGACGTCATCACAGGCCGAGAGTGTGTCTCGGGTAACCACGAAATGAAGATGGTTCGATTAAAGGTGCAATTAGCAGTCCACACGAGAATGGTTCCATATGAACTGTCGTTTGATATTCAGTGCTCATTGACTTCGTCTTAGAGACTCTGTAATGAGAACTTTGTAACCTTCCACAGCCGCTTCCAAGTCCGAGATTTTCAAGTGTTCATGGTCGGAATGAGCATCCAGGATACTTCCCGGGCCATATAGGTATCGCTTGTGATCGCCTTTCAGATTCGAAATGTCGGTCCCGTAATTGACCACAATCGTTTCGAATCCTTGAATGTTGTTAGCCAGCGTTGAAATCCAAGTGAGAATTGCGAGCGTTTACCCTCAATGTCATGATCTATGGGAACAGGTCCTAGACCACGGGAAAAGTCGATGTCTACACCCGAAGAGCTCGCGTAGATGGCCGTTTTAATCAAGTCTTGGATCGCCTCGGGGGTGCCTGACGCAATCCTTACCGAGACAGTGGCGACTGCATCTTCGGCAATGACATTGCCTGCGACACCTCCCTCGATCCTTCCAACGTTTATTGTCGTGTTTCCGTAATCCTCGCTCCACGGCAACACAACCTCTCCCAGAGCAGAAAGACTCCGAACGAGTATGTTGATGGCGTTCCTGCCCGATTCCGGATACCCCGAATGGCCCGCCTTCCCCTTTGCCCTGATGGTGAACCCCATCCCACCTTTATGGCCGCTGGCGAGCTTGAGCTCGGTCGGCTCTCCGAAGATGACCGCTTCCCACGACAGGCCGAGGTCGTTGGCGGCGCGCATGCCGAGGCCGTCTTTCTCCTCGCTGACGACGAAGAGGAGTGCCGCGTCACCTTCGCTTATTGTGCCCGCTTCGAGGAGAGATTCGACAGCCACGATCTGGGCCGCCACGCTGCCTTTCGCATCCACGGTGCCGCGTCCCCAGATCTCATCGCCTCTTCTCTCGTACGGCCAGAAAGGGGGGACGGTGTCGATGTGCGACGTTACGAGGACTCTTGTTCGGCGTGAGCTATTCAGGTAAGCGAAGATGTTTTCCCGGTCGTCCGCAACAACTTGGGTCTCAACGGTGAACCCCCTTCCCCGGAGATAGCCTCTTAAAAACGCAGACACATTTCCTTCGGAGCCTGTGATCGACGGCCGGTCGACAAGTGATTTGTGCAGATCGATCAGAGAGGATGAGGATATCGAAAGCGGTGCTTGAAGAGGGTGTTGGGCATCGCCTACGACCGCAACAGGCATGCCGAGCAGAAACACGGCAAGACAGGCGCGAAGACTCTTCATCGTCGGAGGAGATGATGACGACAGAAAGCCAAACAATCAGTCACTGACAAGGGGAGGATGAAATATTGGTTTAATGGCTGGTTATGGCCAGAGCTATACATGCGTGGTGGTTGTTGGTTCTGGTGTGAGATACCGGGGCTGAACGCATCCTTGCAGAAGGGGCGTGAGGATGGCCACTCTAATTCGGGAATTATACTCCCTTCCATGGAATTTCGCCATTGATCTACATGATAGCGAGATTTATAAACATGCCGTCCTGGAGAGCTTCGACCAGTTGCAGGTTCCACGAGATACATTGCGCAATCAACCCCCACGATAACCGAATTCCAGCCCCCCAGTCAGCATTGCATTATCACCAAGCCGCCTCCTCACAACCGCAACGCCATAAACGGTCTGTAGATAAGCCGTGCCCTTTGACGAAGATAAAATGAATATGAAGCCAGGATGGGGGCTGTTTTGTTGCCGACCATCCGCACCAACCATTGTCGGTCATGTCTTCCTCCTCGATCTCTCCCAGCGCCGAGGCGGTCCCTCAACCAACGGGTGAGAAGACTGAATTAACAGCGATAGCGTCTCCTGTGAGAGAAAAATATGTTGGGGCGGACCACCTTCACCTTGTGCCTCGTACCGAGGTGTTGCCTGAGTACGATGATTCTCAGAGCCAGATCACGGGCTACGACCCTACCCTCATGAGGGCTCGAGCGACACTGACTAGCGACGAGGAAAAGAAGCTCATCAGACGGATTGATTGGCATCTTCTTCCGCTCCTGGCTGTGATGTACATGGTTAAAACCATTGATGCCTCGAATGTGCAGTACCTCTACTGTTTCCCACTCATGTTACCTGGCCTGGGATGCTCATTATTATATCAACAAACAGGTTTCAAACGCGCGCATCATGGACCGAGGCACACCCAGAAACATCATGACTGAGCTCCACATGACTCCAGATCAATACAATTGGGTGGCTACTGCGTACTATGTTGGTTAACCCCTTTGCTCTTCCGAGGCGAATCGATATTACCAGGAGCTAAATCCACCAAAAGGTCCCCTACATTATCGCCGAAACGCCCTCGAATCTATTGGTGAAGTACTTGCGACCGTCGGTGTGGCAAGCGCGAATCATGGTTAGTGACCCGATCCCTCATCCCTTGCACCAAGGCTGAACCCAGCAGATTTCTTGGGGCCTCGTTCTCTGTTGCCACGCCGCCCTCACAAATGCGGGTGGCCTCTACGTCGTCCGAGCCTTTCTCGGGCTTTTCGAGGCCGGTCTCTGGCCAGGAATCCTTCTGCAACTCTGTTACTGGTATCGCCCCGACGAATTGGCCCCTCGCATAGTTATTGTCACGCTGCTTGGGAACTTTAGCTCTGTGGTTAGCGGAGTTCTCGCCTTTGCCTTCGACGGTGTCTATGCAAAGGGTCTGTCTGGTTGGAAATGGTGACTCGGACCTAATTCCTCCCTCTGAAATCGCCAGTTGCTAATATTTGAGATCAAGGCTTATCTTGACCGAAGGGGTGTTCACCATCTTACTGGGAATTGCCGTCTACTTCTTCCTACCCGACTGTATGATGAATTGACCCTTGGGATTCCGGGATGGAGTTGATCATCATCTAATCAACCTTGACAATAGTTCCTACCACCGTATCCTGGATGTCCGACAAGGAGAAGGCCTTCATTGAAGCTCGCCTGCCCATCAACGCGCCTCGATCTGCGGAGAAAGACTTTGACTTGAAGGAGTTCATCACGACTCTGAAAAACAAGGAGCTCTGGCTATTCCTGCTCTGCTGGGCATTCTACACAGTCGGCACCACCGGTCTCCAGTTCTACCAGCCTACCGTCATCGCCAATCTGGGATTCACGTAAGTTCTATCCATGCATAGGATCCTCCGGGTGGTCCGAAAAGCTGAAAATTATCCCCCCATCTAGCACGATGGCGAAGGCCCAGCTGCTCAACATTCCACCGGCCATCTTTTCCATGGCACTGACCATCGCCTTCGGCATCTTCGCCGACACGGGACGGATCCCCCAGCCGGCAATCCCACTAGGCTTCATGATCGTGATCGAGGCCTGCTACGTCGTTCTATACACATTCCCGAACACCGGGGGCGTATACGCAGCGACCATCATCGCAGGCGGCTTCTCGACAGCCTGGTAAGCTCCCCCCCCCCCCCTCTTTTTCCCCCAGTGCCGAACCATCCTTCCCACCCAACCGGGACAGCACGCTAACCACCACAAACCACCCAGGTACACGATGATGTGGCCCTGGCGCGTACAAACAACCGAAGGGGCGACAGGCTCCGCCTTCGCCATCGCCTTCGCCAACAGCTACGGGCAGATCGGCGGGGCGATCGGGCCGCACCTGTTCGACTCCAAGTTCGCGCCGCGCTACACCACCTCGTTCGGCATCGCCATGGGTCTCGTGGGCGCGGCCATCGTCATGAACGTCATCACGTGGACCGTCACGTACCGCGTCGACGTCGACACGAGGAGGCTCAAGAGGGCCAGGATCGCGGCCGCGAAGAGGGATGAGGCTGTTCTGGATGATGTTGATATCCATGCTAAGGAGAAGGCGAGGGAGGTTTGACGTTTTGGGGGGGGGGGGGTGGGGATTGGTTGGTGTATGGCTGGGAGCGTGAGGCATGGGGCCGGGTATGAGCAGGTGATGAACCTTTCTAGCCTAAACGAATCGGGAGGAATAGTCTCGGATTAATTTCTTCAGGTCTTTGTTTCAGCTAATATCAGTGACGAGATCCTGCACGATGACCTACATCGTCTCCTGGCACCGGTGCGATATTTTTTTGTCGAAAGTGACAGGCAGTTCAGATTACACAGCAGTTGTTAAACACTCATCTCAACCTGGAGATAGACCCATCTCTCGATATAAGCAGTGCCCTCCGCGATTTCCCTCTCTTGGGCCGATTGAATCTCAATTCCAAGCCCCCTTTCACCGGGGCGATCACCATTGGCAACCGGGCAACCGGCGTTCACGATACATCACTACCGTGGATCCGGAGATGCTGTACTACTTACACTGGCTGTTGCTAGCAGGGATTCTCACTCGAACCCATCCCTGCTCAGGTTCCGCGATCGATACAAGGATAAGAAGTGAGACACGGTGCCCAGAAGCGGAACGTCGTACAGGCAGGCCGATGTGACATCAGCTCCCCTCGGAGACCGGGGAGAAGAAGCTCTCGCTGTTGTAGTGGATTGACGGGATGTGCCGACCGAGGATAGAGCTTCTCACTGCCCTGCTGACTCCGCCCAGACCCAGGTGTTCCAAGATGGTGCTGCCAGTTGCCAGTGCTCCTCCTTTCGCCTCTCTGGGATCTACGGAGCAGTCCACCCCCTCTCGAAGTCGGTAGCTGTGCCCGTGTCATCCCCACGAGCATCCAGGTTGTGCATAATTAGTTGAAAAGCGAGAATAGGTACCTTACCTAGGAGGTGTTTTCTATGTATAACGCGAATTTCGGTATTGGATTATCACGTACGACCATACCCATTGGAAAACTCGGGATCCCGTCCGCTCTCCCTTAGATAAGCTAATGAGGGCCAGACTAGTAGTTGGGTCGGTGACGACCAGCGAATCCCTGGTGTTGTACGTCTTCTTTTTTTTTTTTGCTGGTTTGATAAAGCAGACATCATCCATGTAGCCTGTAAACACGGCGGTGAGCACGCAGAGCTGCCATGACGGCCGTTGCGATATCAGACCTGACTGGGAGGGGCGGCAGCCAATGGGTCCTGACTGCGGGAGAGCCGGATTGAAGTCCGGGACGTTTCGGACGATGGACGAGAGGTCGACCTCCGAACGTCCCGTCATGATCGCTCTCCACGCAGGCCGGCCAGAAGTATTCCGGTAGGACGGAAAAGGACATTGCCAAGCAGACTCCGGATGCCGACCAAGGGGTCGAGGATGGGCAAGGATGCCGCCCGCACAATGGAGACCCCGCACTGTACTAGAGTAGTCACAGTTCCCGTCTCCCCGTCCACGCCACAGACGTGATAGCTCCGTTGCCCTCTAATGGGCTCCTGGACCATGAAAAGGGGTTCACTATTGCGTGTGCAGAACCAGCATGGGACCCGACAGGAACGAAATCGAGGATGAGCCTTGGGTTGCTGTCTCCTTCCCCTGCGCTCCGCAACCTGGCTTCAGACGCCGGACTGTCCGTCGGGCCAAGTCGAGAGGGAAGGTCCTGGCTTACAGCCTTCTATTCCGTTTATATTACCTGCATCGTGCGTTCGGGTCTTATATGAGGGCATTGAAATAAGAGATGGTTCAATTTGAGTGCTGTGGTCACGCACAACAGCAGCCCTTCACGTATGCTAAAGGCTAAGAGGATAAAGCATGCCAATGATCAATCCATGTTGGTGACACGACTAGTCAACTAGCTGGGTGGCACTGCGGCTCCGGGATGGGCCGGTGGGCTTCGGGAGGCCCACATCAGAGGGGAAGAGGCCGGTGCTTTCTGTGAACAAAGTGACCAGGTCAAGACTTGAGGCGTGCTAGCCGCCTTCAGCCGCTTGGCTCGTCACTGCCCTAGGGCAGTTCCTGATGATGTCAGCACCCCGAGAGTGTGTCTGGGCCCGAAACCATGGGTCCGGGAGAGGAGGACCCCTATATCTGCTTCTATTTATAGCTCTTGCTTGGCGGCGGCGAGGACTCTTGAGCCCCCCATGATGCTCCGAAAGAGCCTCTGATAGCAATGGGTCTGACCCGATATGGATCAGGGACAGCATTTCGTGGATTATCTCCCCCGGACTGATAGTAAGACGTGCCGTGTAAGAAATCCATGCCTGGCAGACTATAGAATACCTGCGATCCATCCCTGGAAACAATCGACGGACAAAATAATGGCGTGGGACTTGTTTCCACTGGCCAACACCGTGCAACGTACCACGACGCGTGGGCTGCGGGAAGGCAGTACGGGTCTCCATCGTTTGTCAAACCGCAAGCAGTCGTGGAACGAAGACGAAGTATTCCGTACACAGTGAGCTCTGAAGCCGAGCCACCCCACAGCAGCCTGATCCACCAAAGTGGCCCATTGACGTATACACTGGAGCAGATGGAGTTCATCGTGGGCTGGGTGGATATCACGAGGCACCAGCGGAGTCCATCACGTAGGGTCCAGCGCCGTCATTGTCGGGGCAGAACATGCTCAAGACCCGCCACAGGTGTTCGTTCCCGCCACTGCACAGCCCGGAAGGCGAACCCGCAGGCCAGGTGTACGAGAATCAAAGATGTGGCCACAGTTGGTGAACACAATGGCAGCAGCAATGTAGCGGTGTATGGGACACCCAGCAGCAGGAAGAGCTTTTGCCTATCCGCAGGGTCAGGATTAAGCTCGGCAGTCGGGAATCGAGGGACGAACGGTCGAGCGGGAAAAGGGGTCGAGGACGGTGACGGAATGATCGAGGCCCTAGGCTTGAAGAATCTGGGGAACACGTGCGTGCGTTAGTGACTCTGGAGTGACAGGTTCGGCGCAGCCCAGCGGGGTGAAGCGTCTTGCCAAGATGGAAGAATCGGAAGGCGTAAGGGGTTCTCGCAGTAGTGTAATTACCAAGTAGGATCGGCTTGACGATGCCGAAGAGGAATCAGTGGCCAGTCGTCGACCACGCCATCGTGCTTGGAGAGTCTAGACTCCATGCCTTGGCATGCCAAGGCAGGGGGTGACAGGGACCTTGGCCAAGTGGTGCAAGGAGAGGCGATCGAGAAATCTGGGACAAGTCACATGTGGCTTGGCATTTGCAGGGATAGAAATACTTTCTCACATGAGAGCTCAGATGACCACAGCCCCCGCACAGGCCTCCCCAATTGGGACCGCCTGGATCGCGAGTGGACCGTGCATCATCGAGGGGCAGCCAACCAGATGGTTGTGTTTCACCGAAGTCAATCTACTAAAACACAGTATGTCACTGAAGTTTCGCGAATGCTTCGGAATCTTCGATGAGAATCGCGTACTGTGGTAGACCGGTCGCACGCAAGCGGCATCTAATTTTAACGTAAGTTTGTTCATCTATTTCCATTCTCTGCATCAAGTTAGGCGGCTTGGCGGGGCATTTACGCCGGGGCACCGCTCGAAAAACCGGTTGCCCAATTACCGAAGTTAACCGGCATCACGTGCCCTACAGCCACTGTTCCAAGTGTGTGTTTTGGGCAGAAGGAAAGGGCGACTTGAATGTGTGGCTTGAGTGCCTGCCCATAGAGGTGCTCAGGTACTCAGGTAGCAAAGATCACGGCAATTTCGCCAAGAATAACGCGAATCCAACTCGGTTCAATTCCAACAGATGGTCAATTCCAACACCATATGGTCAATTACAAACAGATACTATTATTTTTGTCGGTCATAAATCGTCTCGTTGCACAAGGCCGGCCTCTCTCTCGTTTTTACATCCGGAACTTCTTCGCCGCCTCGGTGAAAGTCACGCCCATGTTTATCTCGACCGCCATGTTCGAGTCCGCCTCGACCTGCTTCCGCATCAGGGGCAGGGTCTTCTGAGCCAGATCCTTGGGGATAACGACCACGCCGTTCAGGTCGCCCATCAGGTAGTCACCAGGGTTTATGGTGATATCCTGCTCGCTTGACTGCAGCTTGACCGGCACGTTGACCTCCACCACCCTGACCAGCTCCTTTGGCGGCGCGGTTCCGACGTCGCGTGCGAAGACCTATTCTCCCGTATTAGCATTTGGGGGTTTCTCGGCTGGGAAGCAATGGCGTTGGTGGTATTGACTGACCGGGAAGGTGAGATCCCTCTGCTCCTGCAGATCGCGGAATCGCCCGTCGATGACGGCACCGGCGGCCTTGCTGGCGCATGCTCGCGCACCCATCAGGCCTCCGAAGACGGCATTGGGTATATTCGGTGTGGAGACGAAGATGACGGAGCCTTCGGGAACGGAGTCGATCTGGGCGTTCTTGTCAGCTCAATGGCCAGAGAGGAGAGATGCAAGGGAGAAACGCACATAATGGGTCGGGTAGCTTGGTGCGGGATCGTCCACCGGCACGTATTTGACTGTGTAGGCGGTGCCGACCATCCTGGTCGGGCCGTCCTGCCGCTGCGGCGACCACATGGTGATGCCGGCCAGGAAGCCGCCGTTGGGCACGTTGAGCTTGCAGAGCGCGTCCGAGACATCACATCTGCCCCGCGGTTTTGTTAGTGCCAAGTACGATCGACAGGGACGACGACGATCAACGTCGATGGGGAAGGGAGCTTACGTCGAGTAATTCCTCAGTGCCCTCACAACGGGATCTTCTGAGTGTCCGGGCATCATCTTGGGCTAAAGAGGACGGGGGGGGTTAACCGAGGGAAGAGGAGGTGTGTAAAGTTTGGAAGGGGGGGCTGCAATGGGTGCAATCCAGTAGGTGTAGGGAGTCGCGTAGCTTGATGGAAGCTGTGCTGTGTGTTGCTGGTTTAAGGTATTTGTCTTGAGTCAGACCTGGAGTCGATCCAGGAGAGATGAAATAGGGAGGGACAAGCTCCCTTAAAGACTTAACGTCATATCGTCATGCACCCGTAACACCTTCTCACCTGATTCCCCGCCGGGTACATCGCTGGGTGGGTCTCACAGCACTAGTTCGATCTGTTGGGTCCACGTGATGGGTTGAATGGAAATACACACTGTGGGAAGTACAAAAGTACGTACCTACCCAGGTACCTTCGGTTCCCTTGGGTGTGCCTGCCCCTCCATTGCAGGCCCCTGGAAGTCGTCAGCTCCCCCGCCTCCAGCACACACCAAATTTCTCGAGTTATCCCGTCCTTGACGATCTGCTTGCCCTCCAACACTCTGCCGTCGCCAACTACCTCACTATGCGTCACGTCGCACAGAAAATGTCAATTGATCAAGTGCCATTTCTCCCCTGGGCGCAGCAGCTTACCAAGCCCGTCCCGACCCACCCCTCGGCCCGCTGGTGGCAAGGAGCGCTCAGCGACGGGCTAGAGGCGGCGAACTAGAAGAATTGACTCATTGTTCAATTGAATGACGGTTGCCCTGCCGCACTCGGTTGTTTCTTGGGATCTTCCCAGAGCTCGATCTGCAACCCTTCGGATGGTTCAGCCATCACCTGCAGCTCCAATTACTCTTTCCCCAGTGGTTGACTGATAGGAGCGCCGGGAAATCGGGCAGACCGAGCGGTATCCAGGGTTGCATCGTGCATCAGCTTCATCACAAGCCGTTGGCCCTTTCGTCAGTCCCCGCGGATCAGATTGTCCCCAGCCCGTCGTCAAGTGGCGGCTATGGCATGCAAATAGATACCCAATTTGGTTACCCAAAGTTGAGGGACAGCACCAAGCAAGGCTTGATGCCGCCGACTAGCGAAGAGCATGCCTTGCCCAGGATAACACAGATCTTTGCCAGCGTGATGCAAGGGTTTGGGTAAGCAGTAGAACGAAGGCGATGTCCCTTGGTTGTGGGCGCCCCCGATGGTCACGCTGACGAGACTTGGTGGGAGTGTGCGAGATTGCGAGAGCACGAGATGGCGACTGCTGGGAAGTTAGGGTGTGCGAGCAACAAGCGCTTTGGTAGCAACCACAGCCCGACACTGGCAGGCAGGAGACGGACCAACCGATCCTCCACCACCTCTGGCATCAAATAGGCATCCTCAAAAACATTTGGGTATCATATTGACAATGGCAAATGGCACTATCTCACAGAAGAAGAGACAACATCCCCACTCCCACAACAGCCACCGTAAGACCTCGACTCCAAACCAGACATCCCGCCGCAGCCCCCTTCGACGCCGACGTCGGCAATGCCCCCGTCCCCGTCCGCATCCCGCCACTCGACAGCGTCGTCGTCGTAGCCTTCCCCGCAGAAGAACCACCCTCGCCCGGCGCCCCGGTCCGCGACGGCACCGCCGACAGCGGCGCCGACGCGTCGGGACAGTACCAGCCGTCGCAGGTGGACACGGACGCGCCGCTGCCGTCGAGGTAGACGTACCCGACGGCGAGCTGGCCGTCGGCGAACAGCACGTCGCGGGCGGGGCCCCAGGCCATCACGCCCGATGACAGCGGGCTGGGGCCAGTGCCCAGCGCCGCCGTGACGGTGGGTGGCAGGGATGCCGAGAGGGCCCTGCATGGCTTGTATGGCCGCCATGTTGGCGAGGTGGGCTTGCCTGTCGGTTCTGCCTGCATGGGTCCGCCGCATTGGTAGTCGAAGGCGCTGCCGCGGGGTGTCAGTTGAGGACGGGCGGCGTGTTCGGAAGGGTGGGTCGGGGAACTCGGGGAGATTGGGAAGCATCATACTCGGGGCAGCAGGTCACATGGTAATTAACCCGCCAGGGACGGTCTTCGGGGGTGAAGTAGCCGGTGCATGCGCCCGTGTAGCCGGCCGGACAGCTCGTGTACAGCGTCTGGCTGGCATCGGTGGGGTTCGGCTGCGTGCACTCCCCCTCGTACGAAGTCAGCGGGCCGTGGACGAGGTACGAGCATGTCGTCACCGTGGGAAAAGCCGAGGACCACGCCAACCTCTGCTCGAGGAGGCAGTCGCCGCTGAGAATGTGCAGCTTCGTCGTGGCCAGGCATGAGGCCGGCCCTGTGAACCGGACCGTCGTCGTTGGGGGAGCAAGGGGAGTCAATGACATGTTTGGCTTGGCGGCGGAGAAGGCGGATGCTTGGGAAACGATGGAGTCGAAGTGGATCCAGGATTGGATGGCAATGACTGCGCCACAACCACACCCCGGTCGAAGGATTCGCCAAGTTTCAGCTTCGGATAAAAAAATTGGTAGGTGCGTCGCGTGGCGTTGGAAGGATTGCTCAACACGAGCCTGCACATTTAATGAATGCCTAACTCTTGCATGCATAATAGAGCAATGCAAAGGAGGCTAGACCAATTGTGGAAACCAACCGACCCCAGGCCGATAGACTCAACATACTCAACCTCGGTTTGGTCCTGTGAGGCATACACTGCGGCTCTCTCGACAGCGACAACGCCTGCCAGCAGCCTCAAGGGGCTTCTCTAGTTCGCACAAACCCACGTCAGGCATAGGCGTACATGGTTGCTTAGCCCTGTGGGAACGCCCACGACCAGACCTTTGGTCTTTGAAGCCCATGGTTTCGAGCATCCGTCGGCAGGATCAACCCCCCAAGGAAATCTTGTTGCCCTGTTCAATTATAAGCTGGGAAGTGCAACACTGTTTTGTGAAGGTAGTTGTAAGATTGACTGCATTTACCTCTGTCACGATTGTAGACATACAGGAGCGATTAAGGCGCCCAAGTAACTATCGTCAGTATAAGAATACTAAAGCTTTAATCAGAGAGGAGAATATGCTATGACAGTGCCATGGTAGGTCATAACTGTCATAGTAACTGGCAGTGGCATGACTTGTAATTCACTTTGCATCCCTTCTTCACTTTGACGTGACATGGAAATCAGCTATCAACGCGTGAACTTGCCGACGCGTTGACAACACCGTCCAAGGAATCAAACCCAGTCCTCGTCTCTTCTCGCCATCTCAAAATAGAGGAAGGAAAACATGCATGGCTGACAATGCCTGTCCTAATCGATTGCAACGGCGCGAGCAGCTCGGAACCAGAAAGAGCACTACCAGCAACCTCTCTTTCTCTGCATGACTTGCTTCGGCTCTACTGTCGCGAGCGTTTGTATGTCAGACCTTTGTACTGGACCGATCGCCACCTCGACCTGTTACAATGCAGGTTTGTACCGCATCAACCAAGTCACAGCCCATCGCAGCAGCTCGTCTCCGATCCAAGCCTCCCACCATCAGGTGAAAGCAGTCGTGACACCGAACAGGACGAACCCTGGACGGCAGTTGCGGCGTATTACTTGACGGGCATAGCCAATTGGAATCGCAAATATGGGCGACGAAATGCCATACCTGCGCTGTTGGACTTCGAGCCTCTTAAGTATGATCACTCCAGGTGTGTTTGATCCCTTGACTCCGAGTTCCATTGCATTTGCAAACACCGCCCATTGCACCTACCATCCACACAGCAAATCTTCGGCCACACAGCTGATTTGATTTTCTCGGCAGGAGATATCTTTACTTCGGTTTCGGCAGCCAACGCATCGAGATCCCTTGCGTCGTGTTTGGCAGTTGTCTTCGCAGTCCCCTCGAAGGAACCAAGCTCCAACCCAATGCAGCAGCAAGCGCGGAGGCCCGATTCCCATTTGTCGTGTGGCTAGATCACGGTCACCATATCAGCAAGCAGCGCAAGCGACGCTTCAAGAACCCCAAACGTTGGAACCCGCCCGTGGCTCTCCTTCACCGCATCCGCCTCAGCCGCATCACGCCGACCGATTATTCCCGCGACCCATACATCGCTGCTGTTCTGATTGCGCTGGCTCAGACACAGAGACAGTGGATCTCTCAGCACGGAGATGGACATGCTGATATCGCGCGCGGCGTCTTTACGGTTAGACACCTACCCAGCCACCTCCCCTTCCAGCAGATCCTGTTTTGATTCCCCTTTCCCCCTTTCTCCCTTTCTTTGTCCCTCCCCCCCCTCTTGCTACAGGAGAACCTACAGATCACGGCTCTCCATCCCCCTCTCTCTCCCCACCTCCACATCTCCAACCCATCACTAACCCCCCCCGCTCCCCACCCCCAGGCCAGACTCCTCCTAAGCGACAAACAAGACAAGGAAACAGTGCACCTCTACACAGCCGATATCTCAGCTTCGTTCCTCGACAAGCTCGCCCAGCCGTCCGAGACGCCCGCCGCCGCCGCCCCGACGTCGCTGGACATGGTATGGGAGGCCGTGCGCCTCGCGCCGGCGCCGTCGCTGCGGGACCGGGTCTTCGCGCTCCTGTTCCTGGAGGGCGAGAAGGGGCAGCGGCTGGGCGACGAGAAACGTGGTGGTGTGGATGTCGCTGGTCGCGATGGTGGGCGACGTGGAGACGGGGAAGTCGGCGATAAATGTTGGATTGGTTGGCTGTTGGCTTTCTGGTGTTTCGTTGTGGCTGATGTGCTTAGAGTTTTGGTCGAGGGCTAAGGGGGGGGGATGTTTGGTGTGTACCCATGCACTTCAGCTACTGACCAGATCCTCGGTGGCACTCCGCAGATCACGAGAAGGGGAAGAGTGGGCGTTGGACAGATGCATTATATTGGGTCCTCCGAAGAGCCCCAAGTAGATTAAGTATGTATAATTCCAACGTCACATCACAATAAAGTATCATTCTGTCTGCCCAGCAGCTTCTAGATAAAACCCTCCCCTTCAATTTCCAGCCTCCTCCCCCTTCCCCCGCTTCTCCTTCTTCAATCCCTTATGCAGCGTCGAAGCCACCTTGCCCGTCAGCAGCGCATCGACATTGGGCAGCATGCACGAGGCGATGAGCGCGATGCACGAGAAGGCAATGCTGACAAAGAAGATGGTCCGATAAGCGTCTGCGTTGGCCATCTTGTTCGCCCTCACGCCGGCGGCGATAACGGTGGCGGTGGCGCCCGGGACGTCGGCGAACCCGGCGCCCGAGGTCAGCGCGGCGATGAAGGCGGACACGCTGGAGCTCGGCAGGCCGGCCGCGACGAGTGCGGGGGGGACCTGGGCCGCGACGGTGGAGGCGAGGCGGTTGTTGAGCGTCACGTTGTAGACGGTGGACGCGATGCTGGTGATGAAGAAGCGGATGGACCCTGCGAGGCCCGAGACGGAGCCGAGCTTGGACTGGTCCCAGGCCGAGATGGTGACGATGGAGATGGCGAGCGACTCGGTCCAGCCGATGAAGAAGGTGCCGAGGGCGACGAAGGCGCAGGCGCGGGCCTTGGTGTCGGGCGTCGAGGTCGCGGTGCAGCCGAAGAAGATGCCGCTGATCACGACGGTGACGATGCACTGCATGCGCAGGTGGCCGATGGACTTGGCCAGGAAACCGCCGGCGATCTCGCCGAGGATGATGAACAGCCCCACGAACGAGGCGTACCATGCGGCCGACATCTGGTCGCCGTCGTCGTACAGCACGGCGATCATGTTGGGCCACACGATGGCGAGCGCGTAGTAGACGCTGGCGCCGAGCCCCGACAGGATCGTCGCCGCATTCCAGCCGCCGTTGCGGAACAGGTGCATCGGCACGAGGGGCTCCTTCAGCGGGGCGAACGACTCCCAGAGCACAAAGGCGACGAGCCCAACGAAGCCGGCGACGATGGTGCCGATCACGTAGCCCGACTTCCACGGGTACACGGTGCCGCCCCAGTTGAGGCCCATGACGAGGATCAGCAGTCCGCCCGTGTACAGCAGGGTGCCGAAGTAGTCAAAGTTCTTGATGTACTTGAGCACGCTCGCATGCTCACCGTGCTTCATCCGGAAGGTCGGCGGGTGGTAGAAGAAGAACCAGCATAGGAAGCTGAGCGTGTTGACACATATGAGCACGTAGTAGCAGCCCCTCCAGCCGACTTTGGGGTGGTAGAGGATGAAGGCGTGCGCGATGACGGGCGCGAGGCCGGAGCCCGGGATGGTGAAGATATAGCAGAAACCGTTGCCGGCAAGGCGGTACTTCATCGGCACCAGCTCGCCCATGACGTAGTAGTACGACAGCTGCGTGGCCGCCGCGATGCCGATGATGGTTGTGCCGCCGATGAGGGCGTTGACGCTCTGCGCCGTGGCGCATATGATAGACCCGATGACTCCCAGCCCAGCACCCCCGACGAATATCCAGCGGCGGCCAAATATGTCGGTGACACGGCCGATGATGGTCAGTGTGACGGCAGAGGTAAGTGTGTAGGTGAGGGCAACCCAGACGACGTTTTTATCCTGCAGATTCAATCGCATTAGTTTGTGCTTTCATGCTGGGCCGGCGAGGCTGGAATTGCTGGGGGGGCGACTTACGGGGCCGATGTCGTTGTTGATGATGGCCAGGATCGGCGCGGCATAGCCAAAGCCGGCCACACCCGCCATGAGGCCTAGGCCGATGCCCGTCATGGTGCCTAGGAAGAATGGGCTCTTGAAGTAGCCCGGCGGTAGGCTGTGCTCGTCGACCTCGAAGTTGCGTTCGTCATCGGAAGCGTGGAGCAAAATGTCCTCCTTGTGACCCGGTTGCTCCGAATGTTCGACACCCTCGTGTTTCTCGCTCGCGCGAGATTCGGTATCCCGTGTCGACGCCATGGTGACGCTTCGTGATGGGCTATGACTTCGACGCGAGTGGAAACGATGTAACCGGATGCTTTGAGGGGGGAGGGGGGGGAGGGGGGGACGCTCTTATAGAGGAGCTCGAGAGGAGTGTTGACATCCTTCAAACCCCGGACCCCCAGACCCCAAAATCCCAGAACCCCAACCCGGGGCTCCGCAAAATGGTGATTTATTCCAGAACCCCGGCAGCCGAGCCTGGGAGTGGATCCAGTGTTGGCAAACATAACTCGTGCGGTTGAGGTTTTCCGACCAAAGTAGTGTTGGGAGACCGGCTAGCGAGTGCCAAGTTATTCACCGTGAACTAATTTCGACGTTTGGGGCAGCTTGATGTCCCTTCATCTTGACAACTCCAATATGGGCATGCCAGAAAAGAGAAAGAAGGTGTCGTCCCGGGCTGGGCAAAAATTGGACGTACGCATTATCTTTGTCAATGCATCAGTTTGGAGAGCACCGAGCGCGAGTGCCGTATCGCTCTTGCCGTGTTTTCCCCCCGCCTTTACCCAATGCGACGCACCAGTGTCGAACAACTCCCGTGGGTAACTAACTGTCTTGGGTCTAGGGCTAGGCCAAATGCTGAATCATCAACCGGGTCCTGAATCATTAGTCTACACTAGCCCGGGATGCACATGCCAGCATCAACCGGAGGTGCCAGCGCAGTGGGATGGGCATTGATTGGTTGTTTGTGTTGGTCGCTTCCCGAAGACATGATGAAGGTGTTTAGCGAGGCACGTCGGATGCGCTCTAGACCCATGTAAATGCCCTTATCACCCTTGAGGGTGCCCCGCATGATCCGGATCGAGTTACCAGGGACCATGGGGCGATTCACCATGGATGATGCTAAAAGTCTTGACATGTTGTGTGGCAACAACGGGTCTCAACTCCCGCGATATCCAGAGACAAGGTATCGTGTTCCGACAAGTCCGGACCAGTTCATAGAGGTAGAAGCAGCGAGGGCGTGGGCGACATGCTCGACTTTCCACGGGAGTGGGCGGGATAGAATATGGTCTGGATCCGCCGGCAACGGATCGGGTCAGGGAGTAACTGACATTCGCTTGTTTCTGGATCGCCCAACGAGCCTTATCCTGATCACGGCTGACAGGATGCGGGATAACCGGACAAGCACCCAGGGGACCAGCCCCCATAGAATGCGTGGTCGATTCAATCCGCGCAATGCCTCCCAGGCTGCTACGGCGGCATGTACCACTCCGCAGAGGTAGTGTCGATATGGTTCTCGGGGAAGCTGTCTAGGATAGAGAAGGCGTCGAGGTCCATGCCGGGGAGATTGATGGCATTGTCGATGCCAAAGCCACTGCCGACCGGCAGGTCCAGATACGGGAAAGCGGGCAGGTAGTTCGCCGCCGCGAGGGTGTCCGCGACAGGGTTATTGCCGTTACGCGTGTTGTTGGGAGTGGCGACGACGACTGTGGCAGCGGGGGCAGCGGCCGGGGAAGATCTCTGGTTGTCGGAGCGGAGGCTGTTGGTGATGATGTCGAGGCTTCTCTGCAGGAGCGGGCAGGCCACCATGCCCTGCCGCAGCGCGCGGAGGAAGGTCTGCATCTTCCTGCCCGCCTCAACGTCGCCCGTCTTGACGTCGTGCGTCATCACCGACGCGCCTGTGTAGATGCAGTAGGCCATGAGATAGGTGATCCTGCTGAAGCCAAACGTCTTCTCGAGGAGGAGGAGCAGCTTCTCGAGGTTGTCCGCGGCCCGGCGGCAGGCCATGTGATGCGCCGGGGAGGAGTAGAAGGGCCGGTGGAGGAGAATGATAATTGTGTAGTAGAGGAGACTAGGATTCGTCAGTCAGCCATGTGCTTCTGCTTCTCTTCGACGCAACGGGGGCGGCGGCCCAAATTTGGCACTTACTTCTGGGTGAGGATGTGCGGCGGGGGGCAGACCTCGGGCAAGTTGTCAGGGTCGTACTTGAGGTGGGCCGGGGAGTTTTCCCTCCACTCGTCGAGCCTCTCGCGAATGCCCCGCAGCACATCCTCGTTGTCCGTGACCCCGCGCCGCGAATACAGCTGGCAGATGATGTCGTTCAGGATCACCGCGAGCCTGGACGACGCCTCGAAGCAAGAGACCGAATGGGCCTTCATCGGGGGGTACTCCCCACCGGAGATGCAGCTGAGATTCAGGGACTCCCCGTGGTGAGGAGACCAGTACTCGTTTTCCGAATAGTTGTCGACTGTGACGAGGTTAGATGATATCACCATCACAGAGCATGGCCAAAATGGGAAGGGGGGGATTGAACCTACGGAACTCGGGCGAATGATCGAAGGGGAGCTCTGTCAGAGCCGGAGCCCGTCCGAGGTAGAGACTTATCGCCCTGCCACGTCTCTCTGTCAGCAAATCCCGCCTCCTCTAACTCCATCACCAGGCCAGGCAGCATCTAATCTTACTTGTCCCAAAAATAGCAGCTCCAGAACAACCGCCTGCGAATCTCGAGATCCTCGGGGCTGAGGTAACCGAGGCTCAATATCCGGCCGCTGTTGTGGTGAAGGCCGAGGTCGCTGACCATCCGGAAGGCCATGCCGCTGTACAGCCAGGCCTGCGACGTCGACCCAAACGCCAGCTCGCGAGCGCTCAGCTGGAGCAGGCCCTGCACCGTGGGGATGGCGCTGGGCTTCTGGATCTCGGCGCCGAGGAGTTGGCGCGCCCGCGAGATCAGCATCTCGCCGATCTTGGCGTCGTGGAAGCGCGCTGCGTGCCCGCACAGCACGGTGAGGAGGAATTGCGAGTAGTACGGTCCGCCGGTGGTCATGTCCCCTGTTGAGAGGTAAGCCGGCCTGCCGCACATTCACCCACCTCCACGGGGCTGATTAAGATAAGATGGGGGCCAGGGGGAAGGAGGCTGACGTACGCATAAAGGCCGGCCGATAGACCCACATGAACATGGGTGCAATCCAGACCCAGTGGAGCTGCAACAGCTTCGACATGATGGCTCTGGGGATGTCGTTCTGGAGCGACGCATTGCCGACCGCGAACGCCTCCCATGTCCGGCTCTCTTCCGCGTTGGAGGTGAGCATGGAGCGGATGTTGGACTTGACCGACTGCTCGTCGTACTGCTGTGAGTGTGGGGACGATGCCTCTAGCGCCGGCGGGTCGTGGATGGCCGACGTCGGGCCGTGATACGAGATCTGCACAACGATGAGCTGGGGGATTCGGGGGGAAATGGATACCGAGCCCGCAGGGTTAACCGGCGCTACATGCCTTTCCGTGTTCATCCAGGCTCAGGTCGGAGAGTAGTTCCTCTGACGAGGGCTCCTTTGACGAGCTCCGCCCCTGCGGCCGAACGAACTCGTCCCTCCGTTCCGACGCCATCCCGGAGGCGGCAACATGTCCAGGCGGCCCTCCCGCGGCCGGCAATGCTGTCAGGTCAATTGGAGACTGAATAGCCTGCGGGTTCGCTGGCCGGGCTTCCAATGCCCTCCTGAGCTCGGCGACAGTCTGCTCGGCCTCCTGGAGTCTCCTCGCCATGGCGATGATCTGCGACATTGGAGGCGGCTTCTCGTAGCGGCACTCATCCTGGTAGACCTCGCACGTCTTACAGGTCGGCTGAGTTCCATCGCATCGGGTCTGGCGTCTGTCAGCAAGTCTGTGCGTGACAATATCTGGGAGTCATGGGTCGAAGCACCCACTTTTCTCGCCCGGCAGTTCGCGCAGGTGAGTCCTCGGTGAGGGCGTCCCCGGTCCGCCCGCGATCTTGGCGCCGACGGCGTGGATCGGGTGCTTGACGCGTCCATGGTTGGAGGGGCTTCGAATGGATGCCTGGCAGACATGGAAAATCGTATCCTTCAAGATCCCCGCCATTGAGCGCACCGTGTTCTCGCGTGTTTCCCGTTCCTCGTGATTTCCCCACCATCCCTGCCATGACAAGTGGGGTGGATAAGCCACGTGATTGCAAGTGGAGGCCTGCCAGGTGCTGGCGGCTGCGGCTGCCACAATCCGCCCATGTCCTTTCCAGTGTGTGAAGAATGGAAATGGCTTCAATGCCCGCGAAACAGGACAAACAAGGAAATAGTAGACATGATGCGCCCGGTCTATCTTCTATCTTACATCATTTAGGATTGGCATATGAAGAGAACCCGCAGAGTGTACGTGGCCCCTGCATGCCATCGCAGTGGAGGACCAGTTAACCAAGTCCTCGGCCTCACGTAATGATTCCTCAGCAAAAAAAAATAAACTGCAAAATTCCTTGCAATAGGGCGCAATTGTCGATTATCTGCTGGCAATGGGCTTGGGGTAGTAAGCTGCGAGTGGGGACAGTAATATGACCCCATCCACAAGTTCCACAACCGACTGTTTCGGACTCGCCTAACATCCCGGACCGCTTCCGGGCTAAGCGAGTCCGAGGCAGTCCCGGGGGTACGGGTACGGGCCGTTTTGCAGTCTGCACTGGCAGCTGCGGAGCCGTAACTGCCAAGGCCTCAGGAAATGAATGTCGCAATTTCCTTGGCAAACTGAGAAGGCCCTTTTGCAGCCCCTTGGTCTGGCCCACCACGATATTTAACTCGCCCTGCTGCCCCCAACCGGGCTTGCTCGAAGCAGTCAGTCAGATTGCCACCCTTTCTTTCCCCCCTAAACCATGCCTTTCATCGTCGACTTCGTGCGCTCCCAGTACACCCGGCTCCCCCTCGCCGCGACACCGGCCGCCGTCGAGGGTGGAACCTACGTCGTGACGGGCAGCAACACGGGCCTAGGCCTCGAGTGCGCCAAACACCTGGCCCGGCTGGGCGCGGCACGCCTCATCCTCGCAGTCCGGTCGTCGCAGCGCGGGGACGCCGCCCTGGCCACAATACACGAGGAGACGGGCCGCAGCGACGTCGGCGAGGTGTGGGAGCTGGACCTCGCCTCGCTCGCCTCGGTCGAGGCCTTCGCCGCGAGACTGGCGGCGCTGGACCGCGTGGACGCCGTCATCGCGAACGCGGGCGTCTCGCTGGTCGAGTATGCCCTCGCTGACGGGTTCGAGGAGTCGCTCATGATCAACTTCGTCGCCACGATGCTGCTGGCCGTCCGCGCGCTCCCGGTGCTGCGGGCGTCGGCGGAGAAGTTCAAGATCCAGCCGCACCTCGTTGTGGTTGCGAGCAGTGTGGCCTTCATCGTGGATGGGCCTTCGGTGGATGTTGACGGCAATATTTTGGAGGCGTTGAGCACGAGAGACGCTTCGGTCATGTCCCAGCGGTGAGCACACGGATCCACCTCGCCGTATTATGAATGAGGGCATCCCAACTAAACCCCACGTTCGGCCGCAGATACCAGCTGACCAAGCAACTGCAAATCTACGCGGTCCGCGAGCTCGCCAGGCTGGTCCCGGTGGCTGAATCAGGCGTGGTCATCAATACCCTGAACCCTGGAATGTGCAGCACAGATCTCCAGCGTCACTCGAGGCTAGCAGGTAAGCTCGCAATGGGCCTGGTGGGGTTGTTCGTCGGCCGTACTGCCGAGGAGGGCAGTCGGACATTGGTGCACGCCGCCGTCGCAGGCCCCGAAACTCACGGGAAGTACCTGTCCGACTGCGAGGATAAAGAGTAGGTTCAAGGGCTTCCCTCTTCCTGCCAACTACTGTCTGCGATGGCTGGGCGATGATCGAATGCTAACCTTGAATAATTACCTGCAATAATAGGCACGAGATGCCGGCATGGATGCGAGACGAGAGTGGCTCTCGTGTGCAGAAACGCGTCTGGGAAGATTTGGTGAAGGCGCTTAAGGCCAGGGGTCACAGCATCGATATTCCGTGATCTCGACGATGTGGGGATGGAGAAGCGGTTGTCTCCGATAGACACCGTCGAGAATGAGATCATCCATAGATCCAGCCGCCGTCGATCAAAAGAGTGCCATCGGATTGTTGTGTTCGGACTCGCTCCTGCAAGACGAATTCATTCCGGCAAGTAGTCTCCAGCGTCCTACCCTTCCAGGTCTAACAATGTAGTCATGCAGTCGTGCGCCTCCAACTAGTAACCGGGGTCGCCGAGGAGGATTTCCCAATAAATATGTAGCGTTGCGGGGTAATGTCAATTCTCCAACCGAGATGATGTGTGAGCACAGCCTCGATCTGCGCCACACGCTGTGCCGCACCACCCCTAAAAGGCTAAAATGCAGCCCTGTAAATCCTCCATGGGGTAATTGCTTAGGTACCTAGGGCGTGTGTAATTACTTAAGAAGTCGTCCGTCTGCTCCTCGCCGAATTCACTAACCTCTAACCTTGGATTGCCACAAAAGCTTGCCACAAAAGAAGCAAGACCTGAGATCGGCCATGTCCCGAACCGCCGCATCATCATCCCATTTCCTTGGGATCCGCCTCGAGGCCGACCAAAAGACATATGCCCCCGGGGACACGGTCATCGGGTGTGTCTACCGAAAGGCCCACGCCGTCTCGGTGCGCGCAAGTGTCACTATCTCGGTGCACGGGAGATCATATTGCGAGATAGAGGTACGCGAGTCCCAGAATCAGCAGCATCATACCAGAACCTACCACAGGGAGCTCGGTTTCTTCGACATGACCCGGAATGCGCAGAGGCTATTCGAAGGGCCTCTTCATATCGCGCCTGACAGCGAGGGCCAGGTCTGGCCCTTCGCTGTCACCATCCCCCCGTTTATCGATAACAGGGGCATAGCCCGGGACCTTCCCAGTTGCGAAAGTTACCTGCCCATAGATCACGAGGACATTGCGACCCAGCCACTCCCACCCACCTTCTGGAGCGGGTCGGACGGATACTATACATCTAAGAGCTTTATTGAATATTATCTCCAAGCCGACCTCCGACTGGCCAGAGATGGCTCAGCAGATGTCCAAACTTCAACGCTCCCCCTGCACATCCCGGGCTTTTCGCCAGAGCCCCCGATAACAGACTTCAACATACGGCGCCAAATCTTCTTTCGATCCGTCACCTCACAGCGGCTCATCCCTGGCATGGAAAACGCCGAGCTGTCCTTTGCCCAAAAGACGCAGAAGCTCTTCAGGACGTCCAAAGTCCCCCACTTCTACTTCGAGCTCGAGGTGGAAATCCCGACCGTCATCCAGTTGGAGAACCCCAACGCCATCCCCTTCCGCGTCCGCGTCAAGCCCGCCTGGGACCAGACAAGCGAGATCATCCGGAACCTGCCCCAGAAAGTCAAGCTGACGTCCTTGGTCCTGGAGCTCAAGTCGGACACCGAGGTGACATGCGGGGGGAGGTTCGGGAAAGAGCATGCCAGCAACACGCACGAGACGGACCTCCAGGTCCCCAAGGCCCTCCAAGCGCTGGGCAGGGACGTCTTCATACCATGCACGGCCGAGTGGCCGGCCATTGATATCGGCGAGCTCATCAACTTCCGAGTCAGATCGCAGGGCCGCATCGGCCAGAGACTCACAAACATATACCTCATCTACCCCTGCTTTACGACGTACAACATCAAACATAGCCACCGATTGAAGTGGAAGCTACGCGTCACCATCGCGGGCGAGGAAGTGAAGGTGGACGGCCAAGCAAAAGTCATTGTGCTGCCACCGAGCGACACGAATCCGGCCTGGACTGCTCCGCCATTGGAGACTCAGGAGACAGAGTCGTGGATCCATCCGCCGGCTGACGACGAGGCTCCGCCGTCTTTCGCAGAGACACAGAAGGAAGGCCGGGCCAGCAGTCAGGAAGGGGGTTCTAGTTATTAGATTAAGGTTCTCAGCGCTATTGATACCCGAAAGTAACCTCTGTTTGGTGCTTGTCATAAGAGTAATGAGGTTCCATACAGCTCTCGGAGAGGGTGTGCTGTCCGCAGATGGACTCGTCCACCCTGAGACGAAGCGAATCTCGAATGGGGTGCTCCACGAGGACGTGGACCAAGCCCCCCACCCGGCCGCAGTGAGGGCTGTCGATGACCAGATAAACTCCATCACACTGCCACAGCTTCGCTCGATATGCCGGAGCTCCATTGGGGGTGTCGACCCCAGTCTTCCGGTATTCCCGCCCCAGCGAGTATACGACCGTGTCCGGCGGCCCCGGGAGCGGATCACGTCGGAAACCGACTGCTTTGTGCTCTGCCACAACGACCTCTGCCGTGATGGGTTGTCGGAGGAGATGTACGGTAATTAGATAGGTGAGGCATGGAGCCAACCCTCCACGCTTTCGGAACCACTTCCGGTACTCTCCTCCTTCTTCCCCCGGCATATCGACACACTGTGGGAATCTTCGAGTGTTTATTCGCGGGGCCGTCCTCTTCTACCATTCGCAGATCTCGACGTTCCTGGCTGACGCTCGGAGACTCCGAGTCTGAGGAACCGTTGTCTTGGCAGTTCGGCCCTACCGCCGCGCTCGTTGGTTTTGTTTGAGAGTTTACGATGGGAGCAACGACACTGGGAAGCTGCTTTCCGGAGTGAGACATTCTAGGTGAAACATTCAGGGACAGGGGCGCAGCTAAAAGACGTGACAACCACCCCACCCCCCCAAACCAACATCTCTTCTTCTCGTCTTGAAGAACTAAATTAGTTAGTGGAAAGTCTAGAAAATGTTGTCAAGCGTTTCTATGATGCGTGTATGGTCCAAGGGTAATTACTAGTCTAGGCCGGCACATAGTGGTATTAGGCAGTGATGAACATGTAATGATGCAAAGGAAGGGATTAATTAATTGTTTCGATGTCTCGGAGGTATTCCAACACGGAAGGTACCGCCACTGCCCTTGAGCAGTAAAAGACTCAGAATTAAGTGCCAGACTGGTCTCGAGTCCAGGACTCAATGGATTCTGCCAGGTTTAAAAATGACACCCATGACACAGTAAATAATAAGGCACTGCGATGGCACAATATACTTATTGAATGCCGAACTTGGGTGCCCTCGACAGACGAACTAAACAGGCAAGGAGCAAGGCTCTAGCTAGCGTCAAGCAGCTACATTGGGAATGCCCACGTCTAGTTCCACGCGAACAGGCCCCTCTCATTCCACACGTTCCCAGCATGAATCCATCCTCTCCTAAGCCAACCAATGCCAAACCACAAGTAGAATGACCAGACCGGTAATAGTGGGGATCGCATTTTCGGACTGATGGAGAATGCTAAATCAATGAAGGAATCCCCTGGACGTGACGAACGAGCCTCGAGCAAAGCCCATTCCGCAAAGCTAAACCTTGCCATTCCTTTGGTTTGGATGAGGAATGCCTTGGTTAGTCGTGTTTCACTCGGCTAGCCATGTTCGAGGGACGGACGGGTTTGATCTGGGCGACGCGCATGAAAAGAAGCGAGAAAACCAAAACCAACAATAAACAAAGGGGGGTGATCTCAACCCCCCATATATGACCCCCCCGCCCTCCCTGCCCTATCAGTCTCACCACATCTCACATTCATTGATCCCCACATCCATGCCCACCTTTAGCACCATGGCGACTTTACGGCTCCTTGGATCAGCACTTGTGCTGGCCAGCATCATCAACGCCCAGGTGATAGATCTTGGGGCAGCTTCGGTCTTCGCAGTACTTGGCGCCTCAACAGTGACAAATACCGGATTTTCAGTACTCGGTGGCGACGTTGGGGTTTATCCTGGTTTGGCCATCACGGGATTTCCTCCCGGAACAGCAACCGCCATTCACCCCGGCGACGCACTAGCGATGCAAGGTCAACTCGATGCGCAGGCCGCCTATTCGACAGCAGCTGCAACGCCGGCAGGACCCCCGGAAAACAACCTGAGCGGGATGAACCTGGGGGGCTTAATACTGCCGCCAGGTGTTTATACCTTCGACAGCAGTGCTCAGCTTACCGGGCTTCTCATCCTGGACGGGGCAGGCATCCCGGACCCTAGTTGGATCTTTCAGATAGCCTCAACCCTGACCACGGCAAGTGATTCTGAAATGGTCCTGATCGGCGCCCCGGCCTGTAACGTCTTTTGGCAAGTGGGGAGTTCAGCTACTCTCGGCAGCGCTTCCGGGTTTATTGGCAACATCGTGGCCTTGGCGTCGGTCAGCATGGACAGTACGGCGTCGAATGATGGAAGTCTTATCGCCCTTACCGGTGCTGTAACGTTGATCGACAATCTCGTCAACGCTCCCTGTGCCGCCGTCGTAACAACCTCATCATTCGCGACTTCAACTGCAACAGTATCAACGTCAATGAGTTCTGTAACCGGCGAGACCGTAATCACTACCGAGATCACCACTGAGATCACTACCGTGATCACTTCGGGGACTGTCACGGAGACCACTACCGAGATCATCACGGAGACCTCTACCGAGACCATTCCGATTCCAACATCAACGAGTCTTCTGTCCTCCGAGACCGCAACCGCTACCACTACGGAAGCTTCAACATCTCCGACCGTAGCCTCGACCACGACTTCAACTGCAATAGGTTCTTGATCCTTTCCGACCTTGAGCCCGACTGGCACTGACAACTTGAACAGGTTCTTCAACCTTCTTTTCCACGACCTCTACGGAAACCGAAACAACATCAACTACAACCTCCCCATCCGTGGCGTCTACAGGCACCTCGACCGTGACAAGTTCCCCGTCTGTAACATCAAGCCCAATAGGTGTGGTCACCACCCAAGTTACAGCTTCGACCACTTCAACCCTCACAGTATCCGGCATCACTCACACGCCAGCGAACCAAGCCGCCATCGTCATAATATTCACAGTGACATGCCCCGAGGCTCCCACGCAAATCTCCTCGCACGGCCAAGTTTTCTACATTGAAACGCCCTGCACCACCGTCTTGACAGCCACGCCCACCCCATTCTCCCCGACAGAGAGGCCTTGCGAAGACTGTGCCCTCCCCACATCTCGGGACCCGGATATCCCCAGTGAACCCTGCCTCACCTGCTCTAATCAATTGGCCACACCGACAACAGCGCAGTTGGAAGGAACGAGGGCGGGCGACAGCCCACACCAAACTGACAAGGGGTCAACGGACTCGAATGGCTCGGGCATTGTCACTGCCGCGGCCACCTCGAATTGGCCAAACGTGGCCATTTTGGCAGGGGTTGGTTTGTTTCCGATTGTGATTAATCTGGCGTGAAGGATACATATATTTGGTCTGAGTTGGGCGTTCAAGGAGCAAAAGGAGTTGGGAGGTTTAGGCCCACGGCGAGAAGCCAACCTTGGAATTGATATAGACTCTGTGCCGTTTTCATCACTGCGGTCGCAGGTGTTTGCCATTTGCCTGCCACCGTGGTTGCCGGAGTTGCTGATTTCAGACACATTAGATACCCATTTTTAGCCGTCCTTCGCCCCATACAATTACATTCTACAATCACATTCCACGAGGACGGCAAGTCAGGTTTGGCGGAATGCCAGCTGCGAGACATCCTGAGCCCCGTCGACAACACGTACCTATATGTCACTCTACGTGCAGAACGAAGGTCTTGTCACCTCAAGTGTCTCAAATAATTTACACCTGAAACAAGCGATGTAGCCTCTGCTTAAAATGTTTGGATTCCCAACCCTAGAGCCAGCGATTCGACGCTGGGATCTGGCTAGAGTGAATATCTTTGGGAGAAAGAACAGGTAATTATATCCCAAGTCCCCTTTCGCAACCGGTACTATCCCACTCTGCGGTACCAATCCCCACGCTCAACAATCCCTCGAGCGAGCCAACGCTTCCCCAACCCCCAAACCCCCCAACCCAACCCTCCCCCCGCCCGTCCCCCTCAACCCTCCCTCCCGCACACCCTCCCCCCCGCTCACCACCCTCCACCCAAGCACTTCCTCCCTCGTAACCCCCGCCCTCCCCTCCGCCAACCCCATCGACCTTAGAAACCTTACCGTCTCAGTCCACTCTCCCCGCCTCCTCTCCTCATCCCACCCCAGCTCCCCGCCCATCACCTCGATCACCCGCGGCAGCGCCCTCAGCGCGCCCTCGACGTCCAGAAACGCCAGGCGCGTGCGCCGCGCCACCACGTCCGCGGCCGTGCAGGCCGCCTCGGCGCGGACGGCGTGGTAGATCTCGGCCTCGGTGATGGGGGAGGATGGGACGAGGCGGCGAGTCGCGTCGGTTTCGGTGAGGAGGACCGCCCACGCGCGGTCGCCGTAGTTGGTGGCCAGGTGCTGGGCCACCTCGGCGTCGAGGGCCGGGTGGGATTCCATCAGCTGCGAGGGCAGGGCCGGTGAGTAGCCGTGCGCGCCGAGGAGCGGGGTGTGGCGGGTGCGGCAGGCTCCGGTGGTGGTGGTGGGCGGGAGGCCGGCGCCGCTGATGTCGGGGAGGGAGATGGCGTGCGGGGTGAGGTTGAAGGTCTTGATTGCTTGGTCGACTGCGTCTTCGGCCATCTGGCGGTAGGTGGTCCATTTGCCGCCGGCGCAGGTGAGGAGGCCCGAGGGGGAAACGGTGATGAGGTGGCTGCGGACGAGGGACTCTGTGTTCTCTGCCCGGGGGTCTTTGACAAGGGGGCGGATACCTGGCTTTTGTCAGTGGCTATTGTGATGACGAGTAGGGAGGAAGGAAGCTCTCACCAGTCCAGGTCGCGAGGACATCGGCTCGCGTAACCGCATGCTCAGGCGCCAGAAGCTTGCTGACCTCCTTCAAGATGAAGTCCACGTCGTCCTGGCGCGTAGTCGGCTCTCGCTCAATGGCACAAGGGTTATCCGTCGTACCAGCGAGGGTAGATCCCTGCCAGGGAAGAACGAAGATGACGCGTCCGTCGGAGGTGGCCGCGTCGAGCATGCCCATGCCGTTGGGACATATGTTTTTGGGGAGCATGACGTGAGTACCGGAGGCAGGGGCCACAATTGCCTTGCGAGAAGGGTCGTCCATCTGCTCTATCGCATCGACAAAGGGGCCCGTGGCGTTGATGACGCCCTTGGCACGGACAATGAACTCTCCGGCGTCGTTGTCGTTCTTGTTAAGCCCAGCCATGGCGTCTCGTATCCTTGCGCCGCAGATTTTACCATTCGAATCTTTTTCCAGGCCCGTGACTTCGACATGGTTTACCATTGTGGCACCGTAGAGCGAAGCTGTGAGTGCAAGTGAAATATTCATCCTCGAATCGTTGTGCTGGCCATCGTAGTAGACAAGGGCCCCAATCAGGTTATCTCTGCGAAGCATGGGGAACTCGGCGAGAGCCTTGCTCTTGCTCAAGAGGTATGACCGTTCGAGTCCCTGGGATCCGGCAAGTAGGTCGTAGGCCATGGTACCGGCCCAGAAATACGGGGTCTGCCACCAACGCTGCAGCGGCAGCAGGATAGGCAGGGAGCTGGACAAGTGCGGCGCAATGTCGAGGAAGACCTTGCGTTCGCGCAGGGCCTCCATGACGAGCTGGAGTTGCGGGTAGTCGAGATTCCACACGGCCTTTTCGAGGTACCGCACGCCGCCATGCACCAGCTTGGTGCTCTTGGAGCTGGTCCCGGAGGAGAAGTCGCCGCGCTCGACGAGGGCGACCTTGAGGCCCCGTGTGACTGCGTCGAGGGCGATGCCCGTGCCTGTCGCGCCGCCGCCGATGACGAGCAGGTCATACTCGGTGCTAGTGTCGGGCCTGCCGTTGCGACGGAGCTCGGCCAGCAGCTCGGCGCGAGTCTTGATCGCTGGGAAGGATGGAGGCTTGATCCGGCCATTTTGGTCGCGTTCGAGGGGAGCGATGGGCGCGTCGAAGGTGGGCTTGCTGTTGCGGTTTGTGTAGACGATACCGCCTCCTACCACAGCAGCTATGACAGCGGCAGAGGCCGCAAGGGGTCGCCTGATGCTCGAGAGGCGCGACACCATGGTCGCGAGCAATCCGAATGTGTTGAATGGAGAAGCAGTCCCAGTTTGTTTAGGCAGTCACCAGCTTTAAACTCCTACCAGGTAACTAGGTAGGAAGAGGGAAGCTATGTAGAGAAAGTAAAGCACACACCTGCCTGACATCATCGGGCGGATATGCCGCCCCGCCCCGGATCCAGCCCGAGCAGGGTAAATATTCTATTTGCTTGCGAGTGTTTCTACCCAATCCGCCACTGTCAGGGCCCCCACACGCCTCGCCATTTTCCCTCCTATCCAGTGTCAGGAGGTTGTGCCGTCTGAGCCTCAAAAATGGTGCAGGGATGGATGTTCATGCAGCTCGGGCTCAAAACACCGAGATCTGCGCCTCGGCACCCGGATTAGTGGGGCGGGATTGAAATTTTCGGTATTTTGACCCGAGCCTGCATGAACAAGGGTCTTGTCCTACAGAGCGACTCCACTAGTCGGGCCGGGACCGCAGTCACATCGGGAGTCCCGGGCTTTTATGAGGAAAAATCAAGAGCTAGAATTGTGCTATGCTAATTGACCACGCATGCAAACTGCGCCTTCTAATTCGTCCGCCACCCCCCTCTTACTACGCATGCGTAGTCATACGCAGTCGAGTCCCTTGAGAATTCTCATTCCCCACAATAACCGCTTCACACCTTGGAGTCCAGAGGCCGCTTGTATGTGTTTGACCACACGCTCCGGCGCGGTTGGAGGAACCGTTTGAGGCCAAGCATTGGCGTGTTGATCGGACTCTCCCCCGTGAAGAGGAACACGTCGTACAGAAAGCCGCCAAAGAGGCAGCCAAGGAATGGGGCAACCATGGGGATCTGCGGCAAGAATTAGTTACGATTAGTTAAAAAGAAAATTACCGCAAAATGGGATCTAGAGCCAACTGACCCAGAAATAATACCCTCCAGCAGACCACACCCCGGTCCCGTAACCGAGCATGTACGACACCAGCCGGGGGCCGAAGTCGCGAGCGAGGTTGATGGCGTAACCAGTCTCCCATCCGAAGCATGCGCCCAGGCCGAAGATGAGGAAGAACAGGGCGAGTGGCATCAGCTGCCCGGCGCCGTTGTCGAGGAGGGCGAAGATGACAAACTGGAGGATAGTGCTGGCGATGAACTCGGAGAAGAACATGCCCGTACGAGTCATGAACTCGGCAGGGTACGTGCAGAAGATTCCGGCAGTAGCGGTATCCCCCGAGACGGTGCGGATGCCCGGGCCACCCTCGAACATGTCGATGGCGGACTTGTAGTTGCCGTAAACGACCGCGGCTCCCGCCATCGCCCCGAGCACCTGGGCGACGGCGTAGATGGGGAATTTGCGCCATGGGTGGCGGCGGTAGACGCAGTTGGCGAGAGTCACGGCAGGGTTGATGTGACCACCGGATTTGCCTGCGCAGTAGACTCCGAGCATCACGCCCAAGCTGGAGAGATGACCCATGTTAGTCATGAATTTCACGAAGTTTCGGCGGACTCTATGGTGGGCAGGTGGGTAATAATAATAGATAGACTCTTACCCCCAGCCCCAGGAGATACTCTGATAGTCGCCCTTGGTGTTCTTACTCAAGACAACCTGGGCGACTACACCATCACCAAACAAGATCAAGATGAAGGTGCCAAAGAACTCGGAGAAAGCGTCCTGGCAGCAGCTGCGGACCTTGCTCCAGGCCAGCTGCTCTTCGGGCGGCGCCAGGACCAGAGTGTCGCTGGCATATTCCTGGTGTGCTTCAGACTCACCCATCTTGGAGTTGTAAGTGGGAGTTGATTTGTCGACAGACGACTCTGATACAGAGATCGAATCTTGGGGATGAGAGATAGACATTAGCAACGGAGAGTCACAATTGCGGCTGAGGCTCGAGAGAGGAACGAGGATGCTGAAACGAAGATCATGGCAACCCCATGGGGAAGTGGGAACATTTATGCTCCCACCGAGCAGAGCAACAAGGGGAGTCTCCCAAACCACCGGGTGGGAATAATGAGGGGTCTCGGCTGCAAGGAAGCTCACCGATTAAGACTTACCCATTGTGCAGTATTCCTTCCGGGGATGATTCCAGCGGGGATGATTCCAGCGAGGGGGGGAATAACCTCGAGAGCCAAGTTGGTGAAGGAACAAAAACCCAGTTCATCTCGAGGGAATTTCTTTCGCCAAGTCCCGAGAGAACCTACCGATACGAGAAGCGGATTGGGTCTCACTACCTCGGGGGCGAAAAGTCAAGGCTGTTAGATGCATGCTCGGTGGCTCACACCGAAGAAAAAGACGCTGAATATTGCCCCATAAGGACGCGACCGAGGCACTTTTCCGACAGCCCATGACCCCGTTCCCGCCCTCCTTGCCTGCCCCGTCCCCTGCCTCCTTCGCTTGCTCCCGGAGCCTCCGGATTGGAAGCCGTGGAGGGGCGCAGGGCAGGGAGTGGGGCACCACATCGGACCAATCTCTTGTCGTTACCGAGCTAGAGCCAACGGTTCGGAGCGTCAACGTGAATTTGAGTGGCGGCGGATCTCCGGAAGCAGCTTATGGACCGGTTCCCATTTTGTGGGGACCAGGATATGGTTCCGGAACAGGCAGGAGCCTTTCGGCCGGCTGGTGTGGTTGGAGCCGTACGCGCTCCACTTTTTCTCGGTGGTATGTAGCTCGGTGAGCGAACCCCGAAACAGAGAAGCATGGAAGGATTCAAGAGCCTGTCAGCAAACCTGATTCACGTCATTAGTGGAGAGAGAAAGCGATGACCGCGCTTCTTCAAAGGACCCCGTGCCATTCTAACCTCGTGGTAACCGCTCCACAATCCGGGGATGGGGTAGATCAGATGAGGGGTAGCTTCCCCGAGTTTATTTCTCCATGCATGGTGCTGGAGCTCCCGTCCTCCTGCGATGAAGCTACAAATATTTTGCGAGTCCGTTCGAAAGTTGTGACCCTGCAGTTACGCATCTCCTCTCATCAGTCGGCCCGTAAAGATTCGCTCCCTCGTCCATTGTCGCCCTTGAAGACTCTCTCGCCTCTACCTCGCCCCTTTCCCAAGCATACCAAGAAATGGGTTCCGTCACAATGTCTCCTGCAAATGGGGCTTCTAACATCTCCTTCATCGGAGCAATCGATCAGGGCACCACGAGCTCACGCTTCCTGATCTTCAATTCAAGGGGCGAGGTTGTCGCGACGCACCAGCTTGAGTTCAAGCAGATGTACCCCGAGCCTGGGTAAGTTGAGCCTGCAATTAGCAACGTAGAACTTGACGCGGGGGCTAAACGATCCACGCATAGCTGGCACGAACATGACCCCGAGGAGCTTGTGACCTCGGTCGAGCAGTGCATCGACGGCGCAGTGCAGGATTTTGAGACTCAGGGCCACTCTCGCGAGCAGATCAAGGCTGTCGGCATCACAAACCAGAGAGAAACGACCGTCGTCTGGGACAAGACTACTGGAAAGGCACTGCACAACGCCATCGTCTGGACCGACACTCGCACTCAGGAGCTGGTTCGTCGGCTGAAGCAACGCCTTGGCGCCGGCGAGCTGACCTCACGATGCGGTCTTCCTCTGTCGACGTATCCTTCGGCAAGCAAGCTTCTATGGCTCCTGGAAAACATCCCCGAGGTCAAAGATGCCTACGAGCGCGGCGTGCTGGCCTTTGGTACTGTTGATACCTGGCTAACGTACAAGCTCAACGGCGGGACCGCACGCGATGTCTACGTGTCCGATCCGACCAACGCATCGAGAACCATGTTTATGAACATTGAGACACTCAACTACGACGATGAGCTGATCGACTGGTTCCGCCTTGACCGCAAGAAAGTCTTCCTGCCGAAGATTGTGCGGTCCTCAGACACCAAGGCATATGGCTCCCTGGCCAGCACCTCGTTGAAGGGTACCAAAATCATGGGCTGCCTGGGCGACCAGTCCGCCGCGCTTGTCGGCCAGAAGGGATTCACACCCGGTCTCGCGAAGAACACCTACGGCACCGGATGCTTCCTGCTCTATAACGTCGGCCCCAAGCCCGTCATCTCAACCCACGGCCTGCTGACGACCGTCGCATTCGACTTCGGCGAGGGCAAGACCATGTACGCCCTGGAAGGCAGCATCGCCGTGGCGGGGTCCAGCGTCAAGTTCCTCGTCGACAACTTCGGCTTCATCGAGTCGTCGTCCAAGCTCAGCGCCCTCGCCGAGACGGTCGAGGACAACGGTGGGTGCACCTTCGTCACGGCCTTCAGCGGCCTCTTCGCGCCGTACTGGATCGACGATGCCCGTGGCACCATCTTCGGGTTGACGGCGTACACGCAGCGCGGGCACGTTGCGCGCGCCACGCTCGAGGCTACCTGCTTCCAGACCAAGGCCATCCTCGAGTCCATGGAGAAGGACAGCGGCCAGGCGTTGACGGAGCTTGCTGTTGATGGCGGCATGTGCAACTCGGATCTCATCATGCAGGTACGTGAACAGCTCAGATTGGGACCAAAATGGAATCAAGCACTAACCCTTCCCTTCCACTGTTAGACCCAGGCCGACCTCATCGGCATCCCCGTCAATCGACCCGGCATGCGCGAGACGACGGCCCTCGGCGCCGCCATCGCCGCCGGCCTCGCCGCGGGGGTCTGGAAGGACTTCAGCGACCTGGCGAACGTGAATATGGAAGGCCGAACCATGTTCCAGCCGAAGATTGAGAAGGAGGAGGCGACGACACGGTTTGCTCGCTGGGAGAAGGCGGTGCGGATGAGCAATGGATGGTTGAACTAAATATCCCTGTAGCCCGTTTTTATTTATTTACTTATTTATTTATTTATACTTTTCTGCCTGTCTATCAGTTATTAGCTAGCATATTATATTCGATGCCGAGATGGCTGCAATTGACGTGCTCTTTGAGGTTTGATTGTATAGGACGTAAATAATTGCGCACTTGTGGCACCGTCACAGTCACATCTAGAACTTGACGCTGCAACTCATGCTGCAGTAGTATGTGAAACGCAATCCACAATGGTGTGATGTCGTCGATCCTTGCTTCTCACAGTGGGACGAAGGATGAAAGAGCGGGGAACCGTTTGGAGTTGGCTGGGCAGGCCGGGGGAATCTCGGTCTAAAGGAGGATTTTGTGTTCGAATATCTCTTGTCCGGGGCATGGCAACCTTGGCTTCTGCATCTTGGCTTGGTTTCTGTGCTGGTGGTCGTCATCCTCCTGCAGCTAAAGGTGGCATTGCACATTGGAGACCATACAGGGATCAGGGGAACGAAGACTTTTCGGCATCATCAGGCCACAACCCCGACAAATCCGTAGCACACTGAACCCCTAGATCTGTGGATTTTTACGCATATAGCGCCGTACTTCAACCACTAATTATACCAGTTATCCCCGCACTATCCCCATGCGCCAACCATATCCATGATAAGCAATTGCCTCAACTAAGAATTTTCTAACAGCCCTACCAGCTCGATCCAAATAACAGCTCGATCCCACCACCAGGGAAAGAAAGGGAAAGGGAAAGGGAAAGGGCAAATGTGGAGCTCGCACGACAATGGGACCGGCATGGCAGCAATAAATGCACCTCCACCATCAATGACCGAGGAAGACGCGAACTCGGCAGTCAGCAACGATGAAGCCCCGAGCGATGATGACGTAGGGCCTGCCGGCTCGGCCGACGCACCGAGAAAGCGGAGGAGGGAAGGACGCCAAAAGATATCGTACGCCTCTCGCCCTTAATTGCAATGCCGATACGAATTTCCGGTTGAGTGGACTGACCCCATCTTAGATGCGAACTGTGCAAGGCGCGCAAAGTGAAATGCGATCGTGCCGAGCCCGCGTGTTCGTGGTGTGCCCGGCGCAACCGGACATGCGTCTATCTCGAGAGGCACAAGCCGAAGGGAGCCCAGGCCGGCTTCAACCTTGAGCTTGAAGTCAAGGTCAATAGAATCGATGCTCTCCTCCAGGCCCTGGGGCGTCGAGTAGAGGATCATATCGCTCACGATCACTCGGTCGTTACACCAGGGCTCCCTCCAATCGTCAGTAATAGCAACAGTTTATCTCAGATCGACAGCTTCCATCGCGATGGAAACGGACCTAGCCCGAACGGCCTCTCAAGAGACGCCTTGAGCTCCCAGGGAAGGACGCCCGCGTATCCAACCCCCGTTTGGCAGGGCGGTAATGGGCAGGATGGCATCCAACACGGCGACCAGATTACACTCCCGGCCCTTTTGAATCAGCCCACCGACAGCTCCTTCAGTCGCTCACATTCATCTTCCAATATCACAGGGTTACGAAAGGACACCCCGTTGCTCTCACCCGCCGCCGATCTCCCGCCCCACGACATGGTCTACACCCTTGTTGACTTGTACTTCAAACACTGCAACACATGGTGTCCGATTCTCGACCGAAAGACAACGTTTGGAACCTTCTTCGGCTCTACGTCGCTGGAGGAAGCTGACCGGGTCCTCCTTCATGCCATCGTGGCAACGACACTGAGATTCTTCAAGGACTCCCGGTTATCCCGCGAGATGCGGGAGCATTACCATGCCGTATCCAAGCATACCGTGCAGATATACGCCATGGAGCACATCAGCATTCCGGCACTCCGGGCGCTGGTTATAATAACCCTGGATGAGCTAGGCACCTCCAACGGCCCGCGGGGATGGAACCTGCTCGCACTCCTGGTGCAGAACGTGAGGCAGCTGGACCTCTGCGAGGAGAGCAGTGTATTTTTATCGGCCCAGGCGGAAGACACGCCGCACACGGGCTCCATCCGCCGGCTGGCGACGGGCAAGCCCGAGTCGTGGATCGAGGATGAGGGCCGGCGGCGGCTGTGCTGGATCGTGTATCTACTGGACCGATACGCGACGATTGCCACAATCACCTTCGACTTCATGCTCGACGACAAGAGGATGAAACGGGTTCTCCCCTGTTCCTACGACTTGTTTTCCAGGAATGTGCCGGTCGAGACGCGATCCTCCCCGAGTCCACCCACAAACCAGCAGGGCCCGGCCGAGTATACTATCAACAAGCCTGAAAACCTCGGCAGCTTCTCCTACCACTGCGAGATCTTGAGGATCCTCACCAGGGTTCACGACTTCCTCAAGACCCCCTTCGATGTCACATCCTCGGCCGACATGGCCGGCTGGAGGAACACATACCGGTCACTAGACGGCGCCCTCGACAGCTGGCTACAGAGCCTCCCAAGCGAGTACAGCCGGATATCCGCGCTCTGCCACTCGGACCCGGCGAGCCGCGTCGCCAACTGGTTCATGCTGCACAGCGCCTACGTCACCTGCGTCGTGCGCCTGCACTCCTCGGCCGCGTACCCGACCGTCCGGTCCAACATCTTCGTGCCGTCCCACTACGCCATGCAGAGGTGCCTGTCCGCCGTGCACAGCCTCGGCGACATCGCGCGGGACGTGCTCGAGGCCGACGGCCTGGATCTGCTCGGCCCGCCGTTCGCCTTCTCGCTGTGGGTGGCTGCGAGGTTGCTGGTGGTCCATGCCGCGGCCGTTGGGTCGCCGGTGGATTCCAAGATCGACTTCTTTGTTGAGACCCTTCGCCATGTTGGGCAGCATTGGGAGGTCGCGAACAACTATGCCAAGATCCTGGCTCGGGTTGTTCGGAGGGGACGGGAGAGTAATATAAGCTTTGCTGCTATGAGGAGGTTAGTAGGCATCAATTTGCCCCAATGTTTCCTGATGTTTTCGGTTACGACTTCTCTCTCTTCCCGCTTTCTCCCCTTTCCCCCTCTAGCCTTTCCTTACCTCTCCTCCTATTTTAAACTCCTGTTACGGACCTTGTTGCGAGCTTCAGTCTAAACTTTTCTCAGAAGCGCCTATGATTTGGTAACTCTGGCATCTACAACCCGACAGTCTGGCCTGGAGCAGACATCGACACAGGTTACGTCACTCAGCGAGCTCGACAATATCGACGTCTTCGACTTCTTCAACTATCCAAAGGTCTCAGAGGTTGCTACAATAGCTTCGAGTGGTAAGACCAACCTTTTGCAGTCTCAGCAGATGGATGAACTTAGTTTGGAGGCAAGGAGGACTAACGGGCCTCCTGACCCTGAATCTGACTGGTTAGGATTAGGAACCCCCTTTACCTAAGATACCTTATGTAGACTAGTGCCTTGCACTGCATTTAGTTCAAAATAGCTTACTATTACGTATTTCAGGGGGACTGAGATGGATCTCAGGAGCCACACAGATTATCGAGAATACCCTAGATACCAGTCTCAAGGTTCCCAACATGTAGTTTGATGACTAATAATAGGGTGAAAGCTTATTAGAGCACCCTGTAGTTGAGTTTGCTCGATGGAAGCTTACCAGGCATGACTTTGTCAGGTTGGAAAGTCGAGAGTTAAGCATCTGTCATCCCTTCGCCTCCCAAATCTCAGACGCCGATCTCCAGTACGCCAAGGAATTGGAGCCTAGCCCCGACGACGGCGTCATGTCGTTTCACGAGGATATCTGGCCCACCGATTGGTGCGAAAGACGCCACGCGTTTGCCAACTTTTTGACCCAGTGGCCATATTCTCATGTGGGACCCCAATTCGAAAACTCCCGAGGAATGGGAACAAGTTCTTGCACAGCGACACATTGCCTCCACGCCCATGGAATATCGTCAGTATCTCCTCGCCCAACAACAAGGCAATCATACGCTGCCAACCCAGCACCAATTCCCCAACCTGAACGGGATCCACAGACAACGGTACGTACCGATAAATGTGATTTAGCCCTCGGCCAAAACGGCCCAGTTAGAGAATCCAAGCGTTTTCCACACAATAACCTGACATTCCGTCTGTATTCCAAGTTTCTGGGTTACGGGGATAGGCTTTATGAAGGGAATTTCTCTGCAGGCATGCATCTGCAGGCAGGTGGCAAGTTGGCAATAGCTGCATTGCTGTCACTATTTATTTTTGGCAACGGCAATAGCAATGGACAGCAACGGCAAGAGTGACAGGAGTGACAGCAAGAGCGATAGACAGCAATAGCAAGAGCGATAGACAGCAATAGCAAGAGCGATAGACAGCAATAGCAAGAGCGATAGACAGCAATAGCAAGAGCGATAGACAGCAATAGGCAACAGCAACAGCAACTGCCACCTGTGATGCACTACCCGCCTGCCCGCGGAGCAAATAGCGCATGACCCTGGAGAGATTCCCTTATTGAAATTGTATAATAATTAAGCTCTAGGCTGGAATTCTGCCTTCTTCCAGCTGCTTCCCATAAACGATCAGCGTTGGCCATGCTAGCCTGATCGAAATACCAGATTGTCGGGAATATCTTCACGGTCGGGATATCCCCCATTGCTAAGCGGAGCATGGCCCCCACTGCCACCAGTTCTACCCCTTCTGCGCTAAGGGATATCGTGCTGCTGTAGATATGTCGTGTCTGCTCCCAATATGGCAACCACACCTAGTCGTTCCTCCCCAATTGAGAATCATGTTGCATCCGCCCCATTCCCTTCGCAGCTCTGTGAACTTAAACTTGTAGTCTCGATAGATCTCGATGCCCGCCTCTTCTTTCGACCAGATTACAGTGTCTGATCCTTAGCCTGATTGTATTTCGTGCCTCTGTTCGGCAACCATGGTCACCACTCGGGGCCAAAAAGGTCACTACATTCCCAACCCGCGGCAGACGTTGCCCCTCACAAACCTGCGCAGCCGATATGAGGAAATCCCAGACTCGCAAGAGTCCTCCGCCAACGAGCTGCCAAGTCCTGTCCCTGATGTCGAGACTGAGTTCGGGGATGACGAGAACGAGAACCATCATGATGAAGACATGGTTGATGACGGACTGTCTGACTGGGGCTCTGACAGCGACAATGTTGAGGATCATGGCATGGGAATTTCTCTGTTGGCATACGCCATTTGCTCAGGTGGTAGAAATTGGCAACAGCTGCCATCGCCATCGCCATTGCTGTTGCTATTGCTAGAAATAGCAAGAGCAATAGACAGTGACGGCAATAGCGATAGACAGTGATGGCAATAGCAATGGACCATGATGGCAATAGCAATGGACCGTGATGGCAATAGCAATGGACAGCGACAGCAACAGCAATGGACAGTGACGGCAACAGCGATAGGCAGTGACGGCAACAGCGATAGGCAGTGACGGCAATAGCAATAGAGAGTGATGGCAATAGCGATAGACTGCAACGGCAATAACGATAGATAGCAACGGCAATAGCGATAGACAGCTGCTGCCACCTACGATGCACTAACCGCTTGCCCGCAGAGCACATGGCGAATGCCCCAGTGCTAGCAGAACGACGCAGCGGGATCAAGAGGTGGTAGCAACCGCAGTGAAGACGTGCTAAGCGAGTGTCGGTAGGTGAGACCCTGGCTATCCGCCTACTGAGAGCGCTTCTTGGGCGGGAGAGACTCTCGGATCCGTCGCCCAAGGGACTTTAGCCAGGCCTCCGAGCGACTGCGTACCGTTGGCTGCTAGCAAGCACCCGAGAAATTCCCTATAACATTGAGGATCAAGACGATATCAAGGACCCTGACACCAATTCTACTACTCATACCTCATAGGTATTAGACACTGATGTTGGTTCAACTGAGGACCAGGAGAACATTGCAACATTCCAAGACTGCATCTTGGCGATGCTCACCCTTTTGAAAGAGTACACATATCGCGTGCCAACGGCTACCTTTATGGGCATGGAAGACCTCGAGAAACCGATCGCACCCGGTGTCTATATGTTCTTCTGCGGATCAGAGCCCAGCGTTGTCCTTGACAACTTGATGCAACATATCCCCAACAACGCTTCAAGAATAATTTCCACGCTCATTAGCACGACTTCGATCTGTTGCCTGTCCAATCTAGGTACCCTGGGACCAAAGTCTTCCACGGATGAGGTCCATCTTGCACGCAGAGCTCCCTATGTAGGCCGGCAAGGTCTAACTCCATGATGGCCCTTCCAAAGTCCATCAGGAAGTTCTTCCTCGAGCATTTCCATCACCTTTTCCAGGGCAGCTAGACAGCCATCGTAATCCTTCCTCGAGGTCCGATGGGTTCAATACAATCGTCTTGACTTGTTGAGGCAGCAGGTCCTGCTGTTTTTGACCAACCCACCTCACCTTTTCGATCCCCTCTCGGAGCCAGAGCTTGAGGCGATCATAGCCACCATCAACAACGCCCAATGGCGACGACGTCTACTTCCATGTCGTCTCGCTTCATGAGCCGCGGAAAGCAGAGATAATGGCGTGTCTCACGGGGCCTCGGCCTGCGAGAGTTGCGGATGACGTCGTCATCAAGGCAGGGAAAGTGTACGACCGGCTGGTCGACATGGTCACCTCGACAACCATCAAGTGGGATCACACACCGGGAGTGGAGCCAATTGTAAGTCCTCGGGAGACATCTCCTAGCCGGAGCGAGTGTCCTTCAACATGACCGGGACCGGGAGAGGGATTGAGTGGCAGAACTGGAAGTTCCGCATCGGCTTTAACTACAGGGAAGGATCGCCTTGGACAACATCATGTTTACAAAGGCTAGAGACGACAAGCCAAGCCATGGCAGACTACAACAGCGCCACGTCGAAGACCTGGGACATCTGCAACGAGTCCACTAACCGCCGGCACAGCGGCAAGCCGGCCCCGTACAAGCTCGTGAGCAGGGAGGTACCGGGCCTGCTCCGAAGGATGGGTCGCTGGATGGAAGTGGGTCGGGTTTTCGAGACATGCCGTGCATATGACCAGATGTAAGGCCCCCCTCAACTTCCTTCCCAAATGGCTCAACAACACCACCCACCACATTTCAACTGCGTTCTAACCCTCTCCCAGACGCCGACGACCAACTCTGGACCGCAGGCCGCCACGTCCCCCACACATCCGGCGATTCCTCCGCCGGCCTTCCCCAATGGATCGGCGCCGGCACCGACCCCGTGACAGACATGGACGTGGTGTTCTGGCACACCTTTGAAGTCACGCACTTCCCGGCCCCCGAAGGCCTCCCCGTCATGCCGGCCGAGCCTGCTGCTGCGGCCGCAAAACTTCTTCGTGTGCAACCCTCTCTTGGACATGCCGCCTTAGTTTTCGCGGATGCCGAGCCAGGTTGGGGACGGGCGAAAGGGAGGGTGGGTTCTGAGGGGCGGTTTGGACGCGGACTCTGTTGGCTTCGTATTTTCCCTCTCGCGTTTGGATACTCGATTGTGATGGGGGTTTTCGACAATGGGAACCGATGTGCCCGTTGGAGAAAGGGACAATTCGAGGCGATAGACCCGCTTCTGACATGTTCACAAAGTGATTTAGTGGTGGGTAAGGGGCAGCATGCCCACCAGTGTTGTGGAAAGCCCAAGGTCGATGTATTTCCCAGCTGAACGCTATCGCGTCTCCTTAATTCGAGAGGTTAGATTTGATGCTGTCGGCCTGGATGAGCCCCAAGATACCCCATCGATCATGCCGTCGAGCTATTGCGTGGTGAACCGCGGTTCTGGAATATTGGGTCTTGTATCGGCACAGGCCCCTCGATAGCAGCTCCCTTTTCCCCCGTTATTTCGAAGCGGAGAAAGCGACCGTGGATGTAGCCAAGCGCGATATATCCGGATGCGGCTGTTGCTTTCGCCAGAAATTTTGTGCCAACGTCGAGATACCAGTGGCTCCCGGCGGCCCTTGGAATAATCAGAGTACTCGCCGTGCGGATTCTCTTGTTGGGGGAAAGATGTGATGCTCCACGGGGAACCCCTGTTCTTGCCCCGGTCTGTCTGTCTCCAGCCAAGAAGGTATTAGCCACCGTGACGCATCCAAGACGAAGAATAGCGAGATAATCTTACCTTGGTCGTTCCGGTGATGCGTGGGTTTGCCTGTTTTGTTGGTGTTGTTTTCTCTAGTCAAGACTTTGTTCCATCTCGGCACCACCACAACAGCAGGCACATTGTGGTAAGGGCCCAGCTCGTCACTTGGGATCGAGGGGGAAAAGGCTGGCCACCCGCCTGCCAAGGTAGTTGCCCGGGTGGAAGGCGGGTGCCCAGACCACCAGGGTGCGCACATTCACTTGCGGTACGTACCACGTACCACCTTCATCTTCACCTCACTTTGCACTTGCCCACCCTATATAAGGCCAAATACGGCCGTGTTTTTCAACGCAGGCAGGGGGTGTGGTGTAGCGGTTATGGGTTCAGCCCTTGGCCGTGAGACTAACCCCCAGTAAGTCCCAGACACGACTGGATACCGAAAGGTCGCCCGTTCGAGTCCTAGCTGCAGCTGGGTTTCTCCAATGGCTGATACTCGGATCTGGAGGGCGGCTCTGCCCGGGGAGCCGCCCTCAATAGTCGCAAAGAAATGTCCCGTTAACACGATCAAGTGGGGGGGCGCTTTAGTAACCACGCGGTAAAGAGGGTTGTCAAGGGCCATTAATTTTTTTGCCCTGTGTCCTCTTTTTCCTTTTTCCCTCCTTTTTCCCTGCTCCTTTTTTGCTCCATTTTCTCCCCCATTTTCTTCTTCTTTTTTCTTCTTCTCTTGATCCCACTGATTTCATCTATCACTTGCGCGCAAGTATTGTATGTTAGAGTGTGCGTGAGAGTGGCGCTTGTTGCTGCGAGTGGAATAGGAGTGGAAAGGGAAGGGGGAGGAGATAGGGGAGGGGGTGTGAGAGAGTAGAGAGAGGGCATATTTGACTCCTCTCATTTCTCATTTCCTTTAAAAACACCTGCGTGTTGTTAGACGGAGATATCTAGCAGCGAACTTGTTCCTTTTCTATTTCTCTATTGAGATGTTGTACCAATTCGCGCGACAAAACAAGGTAGTCACATGATTTTGGAGACGCGTGACTTTCCCGTAGCGCATCTTGGGTTTGGAGACACTGCCTTGGTTATCAATTCGCAGCTTCCATTTCGGGTCAAGGCAGCATCGCCGTTAGACGTCAGCAAGCTCAAGCACTGCCACATCAGCCCCATTGATGAAGTGGTAGCGCCGCTTGCAATATCAATTCTCATCAAATCCAATTCCACCAAATTCGCGAAACTCGAGACATGGGCTGGCTGACACAGACTTGGTAACGATGCAAACTCGAAAATCACATTCGAAATCACGTAATGGGTGCGAGACCTGCAAGAGAAGGCGCGTAAAGGTAAGCTACATTACTTACCCGGCTGCTGACCGCACCCGACGTCACTTCATTCTCCGTCTCTCTCCACTAGATCAAGCATCGAGAAACCGACATCTTCTGGACCTGAGCTCCTCCCCACCAATTTATCCTGTCCTGCCTAGACCAAGTAGCTGACCCGTATGCAGTGCGACGAGCAGGGCCCGCCTTGTGCCAACTGCGTGATCCGCAAGACTCCCTGCAATTATATCCGGTCAATTGACATGCGTCATCTAGCGGCGCCGCCTCAGGCTACAACGTCGAGCTCAGCCGGGTCTTCGCCGGGGTCGGCGTCGGCGTCAGCATCAACATCGGCATCGGCATCGGGATTGACATCGGCATCGACATCGACATTGGAATCCACGTCGGTGCCATCAGCCGAGTCATCCTCCCTCCGTCTCCTCGAGCTCGAGCTGATGCACCGATGGTCGACGAGCACCTACAAGAGCGTCTGCAGCATAGCCAGCGAGGAGCACCTCCTGAAGGTGACAGTACCCCGCGACGCCCTGAAGCACCCCTACCTTCTAGACTGCGTGTTCGCATTCGCGGCGCTAGACCTAGCTGTCGCATCGCCCGAGCCTGCCGATCAAGCCTCATACGCCCGCGCAGGCCTCGACTACCACGACCGCGCCCTCCGCGGCTTCCACGCCGAGCTCGGCAACATCGCGCCGGAGAACCACCTGCCCATCTTCATCGTGTCGACGCTGCTCCTGCCGCTCAACATCGCGCGCCCGCAGCTCGTCCCCGCCGGCGGCGATCGCCCGCGGATCAGCGCGCGCGACTCGGTGCTCGCCCTCTTCGACCTGATGGCCTGCACCGCCCTCGTCGCCACCACCACCTGGGACTTGCTCGAGGCCGGGCCGGTGCAGACGCGGGCGTGGATCAACCAGGACGTGCCGGTGCACCTCCTGGACGCCGGTACTAAGGCCGCCGTGGCGCGCCTGCACGCGCTCAACGACGGGCACCGTCGCGACGGACCAGAGGCGGCGGCCCACGAGTCGTACCAGACGAAAATCCTGCATCTGGAGGGGTGCTTTGCCAGGGACATTGAGGCCTCGGTCAAGGGCTCGTGCCTGGCGTGGGTGGGTTTGACCAGAGGGGACTTTGCAGAGAAATTCCGGCGCGCTGAGCCGCTCGCACTGATCATCATGATGCACTGGGGGGTGCTGGTGGAGAACCTGGGCAGGGAGGCCTGGTGGGCGAATCAGGCGGGGCGGAATCTCGTCATGGAGCTCTCGGGCGAGCTGCAGAAGCTCGGATTCGACTCACTACCGGTCTGGCAGGAGAGTATCTCGTGGACTCGGCAACAGGTTGGTCTGCCGCCGCTGGTTTAGGACATTCTGGTGTGTGTTTCATCTTATTTCTGTGATACCAGGGCAAGGAAGCCACAGGTTTTGGGAGAGCTGGGGGATCTGGTCTATCATCTATTTGATTGATTTGAGCAAGCATATCTATACCCGACCTGCCTTATTGTCTCGTGACAGCAGATTACTTGGGGCTTTCATACGAAGCGAGACGGCCGAAGCAACTTTTTCCCGGCCACGGACGCGGCCCGTAAGAGAGCGGCATCGTCATCATCCCGTGCAGAGATACTCCGCCGAACGCGCTGGATGGGAGGGAGGACGTCCTGCCAGGTCTTATTCGAGAACAAGGGCGTGTCCACCTTGCATATGGTCCCCGGCTCGGGCATCGTGCCGTTGATGAAGAAGTTCCGGATAGCTTTCGTCGTGCAGATCGAGGCCTGCGCGAGAGAGGAGTGCTGCGACACGCAAATTAGCTCAACCGGACCAAAGAGATTCCGTCAGCATCGCGGATGCACTCACCCCATAGCCGTCATGCTGGAGCACGACGCTCCCCTCAAAGGCCTCGCTCACGTTGCGCGCCGAGACAAGGGGCGTGACCGGGTCGAGCGTGTTCCCGACCAAGAGGACCGGGTTCCGCGTCTTGACCCGGAAGTCCCCGGAGTACCGCTCCTTCGCATCCATCCTCCACTGGGCGCACCGGACCGCGATGGCCGAGATCTTGTCGCCGCCGTACCTGCTCTTGGCATACAGCTCGTCGACCGCGGGTCGGACGTCGGCCAGCGTTGTGGCCCGCACAGCGTTGTCTGCGCACTTGATGGCCGGGTACGACTCGGCCGCGATGCCCTGCGGGCGGGCCCCAAAGGCCTCGGCGAACTCGGCCAGCGCCGTGATGTTCCCCGTGATGAGTCCGTTGAGGCCGCCCGCCAGCTCGTCCCAGGCCAAGGGGCTGTATAGGTAGCCGAGGATGACCTCCTTGATGAGACTGTAGTCGATCAGGATGCCGCCGAGTGCTACGGGGTTGTATTTCAGCGTGTCGATGAGGTCAGATATCGTCTTCTCGAGGTCGGCTGCCGTGGCGTTGTCGCGGGCGAGGGCGCATTGGTCCGGTGCTGCTACACAGCCCGAGATGAAGCCGGCGAAGGTCTTGTCGGTGTCGGTCAGCATTTCAATGTCGCTGGGGACGGGCAGGACTTGGTTAGCCAACGAGTCTTCAAGAAGGAGGCGTGGTGTGTGACAGGACGAAATCGACGAAAATCACATACTAGCCGTGGTAGTACTCAAACGGATTCAGCACCCCATCCAACATTATCCTGTCCATCCTATCGGGGAACATGGCAGCCACGGTGGCTCCCAGCACGGTGCCGTAGGAGAGACCTGCAAGGCCTTGTTAGCCAACCAACCACACCACCATCCAGCCTCATCACGACGACCCGCATCCTCTCCCCGACTCACCCCAGTATCTCAGCATGCCGTCCTCGCCGAGCGCGTCGACGATCTGCATCATGTCCCTCGCCACAAACGCCGTGCCGACCAGCGTCCCGACGTCGGCCGCGTTCGCCAGGCATGACTCGGCCAGGAGCTGGCTGGTTGCCCACTGCGTCCCCAGCGCCGCGTCGGAGGCGTTGCTCCAGCCCGGGGCCTGGAGACTGCCTACCAGCCTTTCGATGTCGGTTTGGTAGCACGAGACGACCATGGTTTTGCCTGTTCCTCTTTGGGGTTTTGTTATTATTTCGGCGGGTCGGGCAAATTCCCCCGAGGAGCCAGGAGACGGGGCTTACCGCGGATCAAAGGCAATCAGGTCGTGGTGGCCGCCGGTGAGACTGTGAGCCGGAAAGAAGTGTCAGCAAACCAGCATCCATGGATCGAGGTTGAGGGAGTTGTGTGCCTACATCTGCAACTCGGCCGCAACCTGAGCCATTGTCTGTTGAGCCTCCTCTCCAGGACCGCCAAAGTTGAAGAGGATGCTCCCCTTCGAGGGCGTCTTGGCGGCCGGTACTTTGACTAGCTCAAGGCGGAGCGTCGCGTTCGACTTCGCGTCAGTGTAGTCGAGCGGGACAGACAGGTTGCCGCATAATATGGGCCGGGTTCCATTGAACTCGCAGGGCCGCCAATTGATTGTGCTGCAGTGAGCCTGGGCCAGAGACACAGCGATGGTGAGGGTGGAAAGGAAAAGAGACGAGAAGGAGGGCATCTTGTTTTTGGTATTTTGTTTGTTTCGCCGAGGTGAAGTTGAGGTGAGGTTGGTTGGGATGCACACCAACAAACAGCTCCCTACCGTCGGCTTATATGCTCAAAACTTTTGACACCCCAGCCTAGGTACTGAAGGTTTAAACCCGTACAAGGCAGAACTAGTTGGCGACGATCGGTGCTGCGCCATGCGATGATGATGTGAGATTCCATGGCCATCATCAGTGCCAAGACAGAGGGATTCCCTAGGTAAAGAGAGAGAGATGCCGATCTCTTGCTCGGAAGGATGCATGTGTTCATATTACTTGGAATTTAGCAGTACTTTGGCGTGTCGTTCAAAAGAGGCTTAGAGGCACACAGCCGTGGCTCCAACCAATGGTGGCCGGTTTCGTTTCCCGAGTGGGCCCGATGCGAATACGCGTATCCGCGTACTCGTAAAGATGGTCCGTGCGTTCCGGCCGATCATTGGTGACCCCGCGACGGCCAGCCCGGTGCCCGGGTGGGGCTGGGGCTGATGTTCGAGACGCCTTACCATTTGGGTGATTCAGACGACTGCGAATGAGCAAGGTTGCTCCGCATAAGAATATACCTAAGCATGGATGCCCTCTCCCTCTTTTTTTTTTGTTCTTTTAAGAGCTGCTACACATCGACGGCATCATTTGTCCGACCTCACCAGTCACCACCTTCATGCTCCATCTCCATCCCGGCGTACAATATTCTTGAAGACATGTCCGATGGCAATTACAGTACTACCTCCACCCTCTAACATGCAATCACCATACTGATGTCGAAAAAACAGTTGAGGGGAGCTGGTTCTTCTACGCTCCAAACAAGGGCGCCGCCGTGTTCTTCACTGTAGCCTTTGCATCCTCCGCCTTGGTTCACTGCTGGCAGTGCTAGTAAGCCAATCTAACTCCTCTTAGACCAAGCACTTCTGACCATGGTTTCGCAAACCACAGCCGTTACAGATCATACATGCTCATGATTCTCATCCTGGCCTGTTCCATCGTGTTAACGGCCGGCTTTGCAGTCAGAATATATTGTGCAATTGACTACCAAAATATCCGTACTTTCATTGCCACCACCTTCCTGGTATACTCGGCACCGTGAGTTGGGTCCCACAAGATTCCAGGAGGGAGAGATACAGGCTGACAACTCCACAGCCCAGTCCTCGAGCTGGCAAACTACCACATCCTCGGCCGCATCCTCTCCTTCGTCCCCTACTGCTCCCCCCTCCACCCGGGCCGCGTCTTCACAACCTTCGCTATTCTCTCTTGCATAGTCGAGGTCCTAAACGCTCTAGGCGTCACGTACAGCTCCATCTCCGCCCTCCCACCCACCACAATCCGCACCGGCCAAGCCCTCCTCAAGGCCTCGCTGGTACTGCAGCTCGTCGTCGCGCTCCTCTTCGCCGTCCTTGCGGTCTCCTTCCACCGCCGGTGCCTCTCGCGCGGCGTCCGCGACCGCAGGGTCGTGGGCCCCCTGGTGACGCTGTACGTCTCCACCGCGCTCATCACGGTGCGCACCGTGTACCGCGTCGTCGAGTACTGGGCCGCCGCGACCGTGTCGGGCAGCCCGAGCCCCGTCGTCCGGCACGAGTGGTTCTTCCTCGTGTTTGAGGCCTCCGTCGTGCTGCTGGATTGCGTCCTGTTTAATGTGTTTCATCCCCGTAGATTCCTGCCTCGGAATAGCAAGACGTTCCTCGCTCTCGATGGCGTCTCGGAGGTGGAGGGCCCTGGGTGGAGTGATAGCCGCCCGTGGATGGTGACGCTCTGTGATCCGTTTGATGTTATGGGCGCTATTCGCCCGGCGGGGAAGTCGGGCGAGAGGTTTTGGGAGACGGATGGCGTAGAGAGTGTGCTTAGTGGCTCGAAACAGGTTGTGGAAAGGGAGAGTTAATTCGGGGCCGACGTGAGAGGAATTCAAGGGTGGTTTGAGGCGAGGGGTCAAGCATAGAGCAAGAGCATGGGCTGTAAACATTGTATTGTGTAGATTAGACTTATCCTTCGGTTTGTTCGTTGGCAAACTGAGTTGAGCGTTGGTCTTGGAGTTTTCTGAAAATACTTCGTTTAGACACCCATATTTACGCGGCTGCCATTCCAGGGTGGTGCACTTCTAATTTCAAGACACAGATACAGCAAGTCCCAACATGCGCGGCTAGACGGGCAAGGGCGCATTTTAAGGCAAGTATATTGAGCCTGGCATATTCATTAACAAAACATACATATGTCCCTTTTCGCCAACTATTTTCCGTTCACCTGGGCCTGCCGGCTAAGCATAAAGGACGAGAAAAACTTGTCGACGCTCGCGTAATCATCAAGCGCACCCACATACGACACATACTGATCCGGCCGGAGGACAATGACGCAGCCCTCCTTGGGATCGATCCCAAACTCCTCATAGATGCGCCCATGGCCCTCATGGTACGACTCATCATCCACAAAGATCTTATTATAATCCCATCCATCCAGCTCATCAAACGGCCTCAGCACCTCGGGGAAATCAAAGATGGTCACCGACGCCCTCGGCGCCGCATGCACGGTCAGAACCTCGAAGACGGAGTCGTACCGCGCCGCGGCCGGCGTGTACCGGCGCAGGAACGACGTCGGCGCCGCGAGGCTGTCGGCGAGCCTGAGCATCCTGGCCTTCTGTCCCGCGTCGCCCACGTCGCCTGCGAAGACCAGCACCCGCCACGTGCCGTTGCTCGGCAGGCGCTCCTGCAGATGCCACGGCCGCGCGTCGGATTGGTTCAGCACCTTGACGCTCGGCATGCGCATGCCCACCTTGACCTTGGGGGCTAGGGCCTGGGTGCTGTCCACGGATGGAAGATTGGCGGTGGTCTTGGCGCCGCCGCTGCTGGTGTCGGCGGTCTTGGCGATGATGTTGCTTGCGTCGTAGTTGACGGCTGGAGAGAGTTGGTGTCAGTCTGGGAGGGGTCTCTTCAGATTCTCTCGTAAGGTGGAAGTAAAACCTACCGATGCCGCTGGCGAACATGTTCCCCTTCTCGAAGGCAGCCTTGAACTGCTCCATGTTGATCCCCTCCTCGTCCATCAGGTCCTTCGCCGGCCTTCCGGAGAAGAGCCGCGAGAACCTGTGGTCGAAGTCGATGAGGTCCTTTGCTATCTGCTTCCGCTCCGACTCGTACGTGCTGAGGATCGCGCGGCTCGAGGTGCCCTTGACGACACTGGCAACCTTCCAGCCGAGGTTGTATGCTGGATTGTGGGGTTAGTAAGCTACCAAGCTAAGGACATGAGGGAGTTTGTGGGATGCGTACCGTCTTGCATGCTGACGTTCATTCCCTGACCGGCTTTCGGGCTGTTTGCGGGGTGTCAGTTAATTATCAAAGATGCCTAGAGATCAGGAAAAAGGCTGGCAGCACGAACCTGTGGGTGTGGACGGCATCGCCGGCGAGGAAGATGCGCTCGTTCTTGGAGAAGCGCGAGCCGACGCGCTGGCCGATCTGGTAGGCGGTCCACCAGTCCAGCTTGCGGTACGAGAGGGTATACGGGGCCATGATCTTCTGGGCGGCCTTGAGGATGACGTCGGGGGTGATTTTGGAGCGGTCGGCCCTTGAGCCGCCCTCACCGAGCTTCTCCGTCGTCGTGAGCTGGATGTACAGCCGCACCAGTTTATTCTCGCGCGGGATGACCATGACGCTGCCCGAGGAGGCCGAGTGTATCGCGCATCGGCTGCGTATATCGGGGAAATTAGTGAGTGGGACTATGTCGAGCACCCCCCAGATGTAGTCGGTGGTCTCGCCCTCGAGGCAGAAGCCGAGCTCCCTCCGCACCCACGAGTGCGCGCCGTCAGCGCCGAGCATGTACTTCGCACGGACCACCTCGGTAGTGTTAGCCTTGGCGTTGAGGTCGGCCGCCTTGAGCAGGTCCGCTGTGTCGTCGGCCGCCAGGTTGCTGCGGAACAGGCCGTCCTGCACGGCTCCGCCGTTGGCCGAAGTGGCGACCTGGCCGGGTGTGGCCTCCTCCTCGGACAGGTGGCGCAGGGTGACGGTGATGGGGTAGGCGTCGGTGTCCTCGGCCAGTGACTCGTCGAACTCGAGCTTGCTAGGGAGCACACCGCGCTCGACGCGGATGTCGCTGTGGGCCGCGATGAAGTCGAGGAAGAAGCGCTCGATGCGGCCCTGGTGCAGCACCACCTGCTGGAAGCGGCTGATGCCCGGGATCGTGTCCGGGATGCGGTCGCTGCGCCGGATCACCCCGTCCTTGTCCGGATTCCACAGGCAGATCTCCAACATGTGGTTGGCCTCCTTCCACGCCCGGTCGCCGAAGCCGAACGAGTCGAAGATCTCAAGCGTGCGGCACTGCAGCCCGTCGGCTTGGCCGTTGAACACCTGGCCAGCAGTGAGCGGAGATGCATAGTCAAGGTAGAGAGAGATGTGCGCCCTCGCGAGGTGTCCTTACCTTTGTCCCCCGCTTGTCCACGATCCGACACGAGATGCCGCACTTGGCCATCCACGTCGCCATCATCAGTCCGGCCGGCCCCGCACCGACGATGAGGACGTCCACCTTGCTTTCTGAAGGCTGGGAGGTCATGATGGAGGCGTTTTAATTTGTGAGGTACGTGCCTTGTTCGAGCAAGGCGCGGAGGTCGAATAGGGGAGGGGGGAAAGCGAGAGGGGCGGGATAGAAGAAAGGAGCGATGGGGGGTATCTTTGTGGGCTTGAATAGGCCGAGTGCAATTCGAGAGTGTCCGGATCGATTCCCCAGATGAGTATGTGTCCACGGACGGGGCCTTTAAGCAGACAAATTGGCATCACGGTCGATTCTCCAAGACGGCTCACATGCAAGGTCACCCCGGGTGGAAGAGTTGTTTGGGGAACACGTGGGATTAAATGCGGGGATATCGGGACTGACCCGAGCGGATGAGGGGTAATAACCCAGATCCGATGCAGATCTCAAGCCAGTCATCATTCCCGGTTACCAATACGCTGTTTCTGGGGGGCCAGGGGTCCAATTGAGATTGCAGCATGCTAACTCTTAGGTACCTACCATTGCCGCGTCCTCGGATCGGAAGATGCAAGATGCGTCGACGGCCAGTCCCGTAATCGAAGCCATTTTTCTACAGTAGTGTAGAAGGAAACATTCGGCTGCCGATAAGCCTCGATGTCTTTGCCAAGCCCTTCCTTCTTTTTTTTTCCCATGTTTGTCCTCTTGGCACACCTACCCCGCATCCCAGGTCATCCGGAAGTTACCCCGCTGCTGGGTGGTTTTCGGATAATGGCTTTGCTTGACGGGTAACAAAGAGCACGTCTCCAATCATACGATTCCGAATTCGGCAATGCCATTCGGGAAAGACCAGCGCTGATGGGACCCACTGATTCTCCCCCGGGACGCTTCCGCGAGTTACACCACAGCTGCCCGCCTTTGCTGACAACCAATCTGCTAACAGATGGATGTGCTGACAGTCGCATGTGGCAATGATGGAACTTATATGCCAAGAATTGACATATCTTGGTGAACTGGGCGGTGTGGGAGGGAATGTTCGACTCGCAAGACCAAGAGGTCATCTTCACAGAACCAGCTGCTGCTGCGATAAGCAGTGCGAGATGCTCATTAATTAGAAGCCTGAATCAACTGACCAACGTGGTGCCTGACAATCTAGCTACAGCATAGATTGAATATTCCGCTGTGACAAAATAAAATAGATTTGCGCTGTAGAATATCGGCATCAAGCTCCCTCCTCCACCTCCCAATACATCCATCCCCTGATCTCAACAACCACTCGTAACCCCGCTACTTCTTTGGAGCAAGAGTGACGTTGTACTCCAGATCCAGCGTCGCCTGCGGATCCCCCTTCCTCTCGTTGAACTTCACCGTCAGGCCGGACTTGACCGCAAACACGCTATCATCCTCGAGATACTTTGAATCCTCGTCGAAGATCTGCGTCGTGACGGGCTTGAACCCATCCGCTTGGATCTACATCGCGTGGTTAGTTCCAAAGTCGGTCTATCTGAGGACCTTGCAACCTTGCACTTACGATGAGGTGGATGTGCGCCGGCCTCCACTCATGCCTGTCCAGCATGCTCAGGAGCTTGCCCGCGGGACCATCGTTGGGGACCTTGGATGTGTCAGTACATGATCGGTCCGGCCTGGCCAGATCAGGGGGCCAGAACTTACAGGGTATGGCGTGGGCCGCAGGCAGTAGAGCGAGTAATCGCCGTTCGCGTCGGTGACGAACTTGCCCCGGAGGTTGTGCTCCTCCTGCTTGTCGTCCTGCTGCTCGTAGAGACCTGCATGGACCGTGAGATGCCATGCCACGAGCTAGACACGCGCGTAGGAGGTCATACCATTTGTCGACGCCTGCCAGATGTCCACCACCGCGTTGGCAATGGGCGCCCCCGTCTCGGCGCACGTAACCTTGCCGTGCATGAGGGCGACCTGGCCGTCCTTGGGGGTGTTGAAAGTAATGGTGCTGCCGTTGGGCCGGATGGGGGCGTCGGCTCGCCAGAAGGGGCCGAGGATGGCGGACGCCGTCACGGGCTTTCCGCTCCTGGCTGCGGCTTGATATGTGATGTTGTCGACGAGACTGAGATGCGCATAAATTGTCAGAACATCGTTCCCTATTCCAGGGGGCTTCTCACGGCAATGATGCTCACGATTCAAGACCGATGACATCGCACATCAGCTGCCCCTCGTTCCGCCTGTCGGTGCTCATCTGGCCAGCCCAGTTGATCATCTGCACGCCGAGCATCCACTCGTCCATGGTCAGCTGCACCTCGCGCGCGAAGTCGTGGACGTGCTGGATGAAGGCGGTCATGACCTCCCGCGTCCTGGGCGATGTGTTTGGTCCCATCGACTCGATCACATGGCTGGTGAACTCCTGGCCGAGCACGCCCTCGGCGTCTCCGTTTTGAGTGGTGGAACCCATTTCTGTATTCATATGTGGTGTTTTACGGGGGAGAAAGACAAGTGGCGACTAACAAGTGACGAGGGCTTCTAGAGAAGAGACGATAGGTGGCAACGGAGGGGAGGGAATGGTCGGTGTAGTGGGCAGATGACGAACAACTCGTCGCGGGCAATCAGTTAAGTAATTAATGCACGCCGTCTTGAATTTGTTGCACGCGCATACGGTTGGCAGGTAGAGAAGGGGCTTGCAGACAGGAAGCAGAAACCGAGGCGGAGGGGCAACTGAGGGTGCGGGGTACCCTTTTTTGGAAATTGGGGGAACCGGGGATTGGATTGGTGGGATGGCTTTCGGGTGCCGGGGTAAGTTCCTCTCGCTTCCAGAACTTCGGCCAAGAGGTTTTGTGCATCGGGACTGTCTCAATCCCGCCTCCATCCGACCACTCCATCACTACCTTGGTACCTTATCCGCCCGCCTGGGTGAATTAAACATACGACTCACATTCCCGCCCCGCCCCCGCATTTCGATCCACTCGCCCGACTCTTCTTCCATTCTGACCGAGGGACTTTAAAGCATACGTCATTGGATCAAACTCATGCATGGCGCATTGGCACATAGATGCCCGGCTGGGCAGGTGTTGCCCTGGGTCAGAGCCAGCCTCTGTTGTACACGTGTAATGTTCCCGCACCGAGGGCATTATGCTGCTTATGCGTGTTCTAGATACATCATCTGGGCCATGTTTATCTACATGTACATTACATACAATTAACTGTATGGCCCGACCCAGCAACCTGTAGCTCCACCATTACGCATCATTTCCTGTAATCTAGGCCCGGACCAAAATCCCAGGTCGCCGGATCCGACCCATTAGGTCTGCTCGCCCGTTTGAACGCTACTTCAACGCCCTCGATCTCCACCACGGGCCGAACGGCGACCACGTCCGCCTTGTAGGCGTCCGAGTACCATGCCTCGCACAGCTTGTCGGCGTCGAAGAGCTCCGGGAACTGCGCCTTCATGTTCTTCAGCGCCGTCCCCGAGATCTGGTCGACGCTGTGGCTGTGCCGGAGGGCGAGGAAGTCCTCGCCGGCCCGCCTCCTCAGCTCCTCCTGCACGGCCTCGGGGTACTTTCCGGCCTTGAACAGCAGCAGGTCGTAGTGCATCAGCGACGCCTTGCCGTGCCACGACCCGCCCTTGGTCGCCCGGTAGTACAGCCCCGTCATGGCCGCGATCGCGCCGATGCAGCCGGTGCCGTAGTCTGATATCGGGAACGGCGGCACCACGGGCTCGTCCAGGCCCATGAACTTGCCCTGTTCCCATGCCACTCCGCTGACCTGTGAGGGGGAAGTTAGCCCTCCGACTATGTCTCATCAAAAACAGGATGGGGGGATGATGACGTACACAATCCGCAATCTGCTGCCACCCAGGCCTCCCAGCCCACTCGCCCTCGTACCCGAAGCAGTTCTCATTGACATACACGAACCCCTTCCCCCGCCGCCGCGCCACCTCCGCCAGCGCCCGTGGCCCGTATCCAAGCCCCTCCAGCGCCCCGGGGCGGTACCCGTCGAGGACGACGTCCGCCTCTTCGAGGAGCCGCTCAAAGGCCCGCCTGCCGGCGGGGGACTTGAGGTCGAGCTCGGCGGCCCGCTTGCCCATGTTGCCGTCGACCTGGAAGAAGGGCACGTCGCTGAGCCCCGGCCCCGTCACCTTGAGCACGTCGGCGCCGTACTCGCCCAAGATGCGGCCCATCACGGGTCCCGCGATGATGCGGCACAGCTCGAGGACCTTGATCCCCGAGAGGATGCGCCCGTCGGTGGGCTTGGATAGCGGGTGGGGTGGTGTTGAGGACTCGAGGCTGTCGACTGTCCAGGGGGGGAGGTTGATGTTGGTCTTGCCCTGTTAAAACGCTCCTGTGTCAGCGGGAAGAAACGGTCGGCCTGAGATGGGGAGGTGGGGGGGGGGGGCGCCGCGCCGTTTGACGTACATGTGGCGTCTGCAGGAACTCCTCGTGCGTCAACGCCGGGATGCCAGCCTGCCGGTTTTTCGTGTTCATCTGCTCGAGCTCGTCGACTGTGTACTTCTTCACGTGTGCTCCGATGGTCTCGACGATGGCGTCATGCTCCCCGCCGAGGTCGGGCCTGAAGGGCTCAAGCCCGATCATCCCCAAGGTCGTCGATGCCTCGAGCGACCCGTGGATGTGGTAGTACTTCCCCTTGTCTTTGGTCTCGTAGAGATTGGCCGACATTCGCCGGTAGGGGTCCGACTGTGCCTGGAGCAAGTCCGTATCTGGAGATGACTGGTTAGCTTCAGCGTGTTTGCAATTGTGTGCGATCTGCCTCACCTTTCAAGAAGCGCTTGACTTCGCTGTCCAGCTTTCCGCACCCGCCAACGGTTGCCAGGTAGGCTTGGAACAGGAACGCCGTGGTCCGTTCGAGGTTTACGGTGATCTTCCGGCTTCCCGGCGAGCCCCCATCTTGTAGGTCTGCGAGCGCGCAGGCGACGCTCGCCTCGATCGCCTTGAGGGCTGCGCCCAGCTCGGTCTCCTTGAATGGGATGGGGAAGTAGGGGAAGTCGCGCGAGGACGTGAACGACACATTCCTCTCTGCTGCGCATCTGATCTCGGGGGGCAGAGATACAAGCTGGAGGACGAGGTCGACGATGCGCTTCGTCTCCTGGACGCTGGAGTAGCCGTGTCCGGACATGGTGTGCTGCGGGAAGGGCGGAGGGGTGTGTGTGTGCGGTTGATCGACCACCAAGGCTAAGGCACGGCGTGGTGGTGGCTTGGGCGATCAAGGGCGCAGACGGATAGAGGTACCTTTATTGGTGATAAAGTTCAACGGCCCTGTATCCCGCTTTCATCAACCGACAAACGCATCGTGGCAAGGCCGAGTATTTCCTCAGCAAGGTTTCCGGGAAATGGATCTCTCCCGTTTCACCTTCGGATATGCCACGGTGTAGAAAGATGAAAGCAATGAGGCAAGAAGGACCGGACTGAGGTGGATGCTTTGCTACCCGATGCCACCCCTCTGGGACGGGGTCCAAGGCACAGGTTGCGTGGCACCGGTAGTTACGGAGCGCGGCTTGCTACTCGCGGTTCAGGCGGTCTTTCTTCGGTTATTTTGGGAGCTACCTGCCTCCGAATATGCATCGGATGCAGGGTATGCAGCTTCCGTGCATTATCCGAGGCCATCCCCGCATCCGATAGTGGGTCGTCTCCACTGGATCCGGTAGTCGTGGCAGGCTCAAATGACTGGGTGGATCCCGGCCTGCGAACGAATCTTGACAGCCTACGAATTGGCCTGGATGTGCGCACAGCATTCAACCCCCTGGATTGGGTGGCCAGAGAGGATCCTGCACAAACGCTCTTATACCCCAATCCGGTGTAATATTGTTGTAGGTACCTAGTGAACAGTAGTACTTGGATGGTGAGGCATTCACCCGTCTTCAATTGATCTACCACCATGCCGTTCATCCAGACTGGCGGGAAGGAGCTGTACTACACCTGGAGCCAGGCAAAGACTACGGGTGAACAGCCTGGTCTGACCCTCCTCTTCCTCCACGGATTGGGCTCATCGAGCTCTTTCTATGCGACCATTATTCCCAGGCTGCTTGAGGCAGGGTTATCGTGCCTTGCAGTTGATACATACGGTAAGACTGGGGCCCAGTGGGGTTGAACACCAACAGAACTGCAAGCTGATGCATCCATAATAGGGAGCGGTCTGTCCAAGTTCACTGGTCAGGACCAAGACACCAGGACGATTGCACAGGATGCCCGACACCTGCTCTCAACGCTGGGCGTTGACCCGGGGCGCACTGTTGTTGTCGGGCACTCGATGGGATGCATAGTCGCCAGCGAGTTGGCGAGTGACGGCAACTTCGCCGGCATGGTGCTCCTGGGAGCCATCAACCCGGATCCAAAGTACCACGCCGCCTTTGGCAAGAGGATCGAGACAGTGAAGGCCCGTGAGTGATCCCGACTGACCGATAGTGATATTTTCGGCGGGGACCCGCAGTGCTGACTTTCCGGAACAGAGGGCATGGAAGCGATGGCGAATACCATACCGACAGCTGCCACGGGGTCAAGATCCAACTCGGTCCATCACGCCTTTATTAGGGCCCTCTTGTTGTCGCAGACATCAGGTGGATATGTGTCGCTCTGCAATGCCATCGTTTCCGCAAGACGACCCGATTATGCTCGTATCAGGTGTCCCGTACTCGTTGTAGCGGGGGAAGAAGATAAGACGGCTAGCCTGGGTGATGCAAAGGCGATCATTGCCAGGTGAGTTTTCATTCAAAGGCCTGCCATTCTCGAATGCATATCTAACCGAGAATTTCCAGCCTGGGAACCGATCCCACAGCTGTCCAGCTGGAGATCCTACCCGGTGTCGGGCATTGGCATTGTATTGAGGGCGCGGATGAGGTCGGGGCACTCGTAACCGAGTTCGGAAGAAGGATAACGACAACGATTATACAAAATTAAAGGTGCATTATTGATTGAAACAGTACACGTAGATGCTCCCTTGCGCCATGAATCTCCTACTCTGACCTGGGAGATACTCTTATTTCTTGCCGTAAATATTGGCTCCGGTATCCTAAGCTGCATCAGCAATGGCGTTCCTCGCAGTCGAGACAAAGACGTCTCGTAGCAAGCTTTTGCCGATCTGTGTTGGCGAATACTCACCAGATAGACCTGGTAGAAGCTCATTCTCCAAACCCCGTCCTGGGACGACAACTCGGCTCGGGCCGCCCAGTCCACTTCACCCTCCTTCCCGTCCTTGAAGTCAAACTTGACCGAGCCGTATAGCATAAACTCGCGGGAGGACGAGCCAAAGGGGAAGATCTTCGGCACAGTGTGCTTACGGGAAGATATCGAAGACCACATGCCGTGTCTCATGCTAAGGATATCTGGGGGAGGAGCAGGCATGTAAGAAATGGCCATTTAAAGCGGGTGTAATTATCATCGGAAACATACCTTCGCGGCCTCGACTTGATTTGGATGCCAGGATAAAGGTTGCATCATTGGTGAACATATCAACATATTCATCGTGAGCACCTGGCGTGTCTGAGACACGGTAGAACCTCTCGAAGAACTCGACAATGGAGGACTCAACCTCGACGCCAAAGGGGTATTGGCTTTTGTATGAGTGGGACATTGTATCGGCGGTTGATTAGGGGTCTGGTGAGAGAGTCGGGGGTAAAGGGAAAGAAAGGGTATAGGGGCGGTTTTCAGAGTCGGTAACACTGCACATTACTACTGTAACTATCATGACAAGTTATAGCTGTTGTAGAATCAGTAGCATTCTCACCGATGACGACGTTAGTGGATACCCCAGAACACTTATCCGATGGCGTCGGATGTGTCCATCTTTGCTCATTTATTTGGTGGGGTAAGTAAGTGCCTTCGTCTAATGGGGTGTGGGGAAATTTGGAGCAAACATAACATTCCTCCCCGCGACGAAATCTTATGCCAGATGCACAGACTGCCAACTCTATACAAACATGCGTCCAGACATATCTTGCAAAACACTCTTCAACAGGCATTCCTCTGGATGATTCTTCCCCCTCCCATCCCGACTTACCGCAGTAGGTACTGTACCTCCCCAAGTGACGTATCCTAAGCAGAGCTGGCCAATAGCAGGGGGTTGATTTCTGATAACCCCGCCATGGTGCCACGTGATGCATAGGCTAGCACGTACTAGTTACCCAGACTAACCAGGAAAGGATTAACCCCTAAGAGAGCTTCCACGCAGCTGGGCCCACTGAGATGCCGTCTCGCCTCCCCCGTTTTTCCTCGTTTCCACTTCTCACTACCTATCTGTGGACACGCACACGAGCACGAGCACATTGCTTCGGCCCAAGGACCTTGATATTGGAAGTGGGGACTAAGAGAGACAAGGAAAGAAAGAGAAGAGACTCGGATGATGCTGTACAATGCCTACTAGGAGGATCAGAGACACGGAGCGGCGCCGCTGTCCCAAGGCCTGTGAGACGTGCAAGCGGCGGAAGGAGAGGTGTGATGGCCTACTTCCCTGCAGGCGATGCACCATGCGCGGTGTCGATGCACAATGCACCTTTGCCAGCGGTCCATCCCCCGGCTCTCAACACAGCCCGGGCAGCCACAGCAACAGCAATAGCACAATCACCATCAACCACAGCTCCAACACCAACGCCAACAACAGCTTCCTACCAGATCGTAATGACTGCCATATCGCTACCGGCGCGTTCCGGGGTTCGGAGCCCTCGTCAACCGAGATAATGACGACCGACATATCGCCCGAGCTCACCACCAGCCCCCGCCAACGAAGGTCGTCCCAAGTCTTCCACACCTCGCCGGCGGCGCCAGTCCCGCAGCTGTCCAGGCTGATCAAAGACGGCCGGGGCAAGTTCATGTTCATCGGCGACGCCGCAAACCTGTCCTTCCTCCAGATCATTCGCCGTATCGTGTCCGAGTCCGTCGGCTCGTGCCCCTTCGTCGATGACCCCCTGAGGAACCACATGGTCGAGGTCTCGCCCGAAGGACGGCCCAGCTGGATATCCGCGAGCCTGTCTGAGCCTCCGCCGAAGCCCAGCGCCGCCGAGGCTCAATATTTCCTGCGCTGGTACAAGCGTGCCACCAACTGCATCCTCAACCTGTACGACGACGCCGAGCTGGGTGCCGAGCTTGAGCGGTGGAGAGACGGAGAGCGAGGCGGCGAGCAGGACGCTGCCACCAGCGCCATTCTTTACCTCATCTTCGCCATTGGCGCTCAGACCTGCCCGGAGGATAAGGATGAGCTGGCTGAGAGGTACTTCAACTACGGCCGCTTTCTCACAGCCTCGAGTGTGATGGAGGACCCAAGCCTGGCAACTGTCAGGGCATACATCCTCATCACCATGTATCTGCTCGGTGCGTCGCGACGCAACGCCGCGTTCATGTACCTCGGGATTGCAGTGCGTGCCGCCTATGCACTTGGTATTCATAGGGGCGATATTGGGTCGCTGTTCAGCCCGGCTGAGTACACGACTCGCGAGAGGCTGTGGCGAGGCCTCCGGATCTTGGATCTCTTCCTGAGCTCCTCACTTGGTCGCCCACCGTCAACGTCGGAAACAAGGGACACGACTTCCAGGGAGAACTACTCGGCTACCAACGACTTGTGCTCCATCTTCGAATCCATCCTCACCGAGGTCTATGCCAAGAGGATGGTGTCGACCGAGGTCCTGGAGCGCATCAGCGAGCAGCATCGGCGCTGGTCATCACGGTTTGCCGAGGGCTTGGCCACAGACGATATTGAGCCCGGCGAGTATCTGGAGTCGACCGACGACTCGGGCAGTCTGCTGCCCAACATTGGCCTGTGCCACCTGAAGCAATCGTACTACTGGACCATCATGCTCCTATCCCGGCCCTTCCTCGTCGAGAGCGTATCACGTCACACGTCCCGCGCCCGCGCCCGCGCCCACGCCGACCTCGACGACGACCACGACGCGCCCCCACCGCCGTCCTCGCCATCCGACCACCTCCTCGCGCACGCCTGCGTCGACTCGGCCATCCGCACCGTCGAGCTGCTGCGCGGGCCCCTCTCCTCGACCGGCACCGGCAGCGGCGTCCCCAAGCGCCTGCCCTTCGTCATCAACTCGCTCTTCGTCTCGGCGCTCGTCCTCGGCCTCGCCGTGCTCGGCGACCTCGACCGCGCCTTCCCGCTGGAGCGCACCCTCGCCACCGCCCAGCGCCTGCTGCGCCGCCTCTCGTCGCACGACGCCGTCGGCGAGCGCGACGCCGCCATCGTCGAGCACCTGCAGGGCGCGTGCGACGCCTACCTCGAGAGGCGCGCCCGCCGCCGCATGGAGCGGCAGGGGTTGCTTATCGGGGGCCTGTTTGGGAGCGTGCATCTTCTCGAGGCCGGCGCGGGGGCGGGGTCGGGGTCGGACCACCACCAGCACCATCTCCGGGAGGTGCCGCCGCGGGCCGTCGCTGCCGGGGTCCATCAGCTGCTTAGCCCGGATACGGATGCCAGCGCGGACCAGCAGATGTCGATGGGTTCGCTTGGCGGCGAGGGTGGGCATCATATGTCTGGGCATGTCGAGACCGGCGGGGTTGTGCAGATGCTGCCGGCGGTCACGGATATGATCCTGCCCATGTCGCCGAGGACGCTGCTCTTCGACTCGTTCGACGAGAACTTGCCGCTGTTTCCGACGGTTGATGCTAGGTTGATACACCTCGGCGGGTATCACATGGAGGATATCTCTCCCGATGGTATGATGCTCGGCCCGATGGGGTGATTGTGATGGCGTGGCTAGCCAGACATCGCAAAGTTATTGAGAATGCTAGGTATACTAGGGAGTGGTGTGGGTCAGGCCGCCACTCCCTATTTGAGGGCAAGCTGAAGGAGGCTCAGCATCGGCTCAAATACCAACCAAGTGGACTCGGCCGTCGATGGGACAAAGCGGACTCGCCCTCCGGCCACGACAGGCATACCATACGCCTCGCGGTATGAGAACAGCAGAATGTCCCCCAAGCCAAGCAAGGTACATCCTTGCTCTCTAACGGCCACTGCTCACCTCGACCCTACCGATGAGCGACAGTTGCGGAGGTTGTGGAGGCTCGGTTGAAGGGTTTGAGAGGATATGCCAGGCATATGTATCTTGTCCCCGAGAGTAGCCGTCGAGCGCAGTGGTTCAGCCACTGATATCAGGACCTTTTGGAGGCGCATTCTAGCAGGCGGCCATTCCGTAACTGCACCCGTTGTATGGTTTGAGGTGGGGGATGCCAGCCCAATCGGTTCTGACTCTGGCAAAGATACCAACGTGTGGCTTCGGGAATCGCTTCCGCGCAACTCGCGGCATGTCAACTGGGCGTTTGCTTGGAAGATGAGAGGGCGGAATGTCGCTGTCGCTGGGAGTGTGCTCGGGGGTTGTTGACGTGTCGAGGGGCTAATTGAGAAGAAACTCTTCACGCATTTTCGTCCATCCACGGAATCCTTCAATAGGTATGTCGACGTCCTCTTACCCAATGCAGAGCATAGAACCACCTATTCTTAACTGAAACGGGCGTTCACCTCATTGCAATCCCGACGTTTCGCTCGTTGAAGTTCGGCGCTGACAGCCAGGCAGAGCACACGTTTGGCGGCCCAGTACTCTTCAATATATAACTTCAATGAGGATATGATTCCTAATTAGATCATGACTTACGTCGTTGCTTGGAAAGTACGAAGTATCATTCGCGTGGCAGCGACAAGGGCATTCATTGGTGACATTTCCGCTCAGTGCAACCCACGGTTAAATTGAATCCTGGGGCGCAGCAACCCTGCTCACCCTGCATATACGGCAGCGAACAAGGATTATTTATGGATCTGCCAAGGAGTTGAGCAGGATCATAAATATTCCCGGTTCCCACCTGGGGCAGCCATTTTCCATTCCCGGTCCTCAAGCTCAGCCCTACAGTAACGACGTGAGTTGTCTCCTCTCCCGCCTATCGGCCCCCTAGACCGACATGATTAGGTCGCGATGGAAGCCTCGAACCCAACTTCAATAAACTCTCGGTGGCGGCGCAGGCCCCCTCGCACCGCGCTCTGCATCATCTTGATCCTCATCCGCGGACTCATGGCCGTGTTTGACCTGGCCAGCATCATCACATTCGGTTGGTTCTGTGGGAAGTGGCCCAACCAGTCGCCTGCGCTCGGCGTCGGCTTTTCCGGGGTAAGTCCTGTCGTGGACTCTCTTGCTGCCCGCATTGAGACCACTTTGCGCTGACAATATCTCCCCAACAGGTAATCGTTGCCTTGATAGTCGACGCCTACCAGATCGTCCGCCTCAGCCAAGACAGGACAGCAAAAGAGACCATCCACGCACTTATCGGGTGTATGGATTTCCTGGTCTTCACCCTCTGCATCATAGGCTTCTTCGTTTTGCTCCTCAGCGACTGGACATCGGAGACGCCTTGGCGTCGCCCCCCGTCTCCTCCGTGGGAGCATCCCAAATTCGTCGTCGGCATGATGTTGGTAGCTACATTGCACGTCTACTCTCCCCCCACGCCCACATGGGAAACCCTGCGCAGGCTTGCTGACCCGCTATTTCTAGGGCTGTCCACTTCGTTTTCATGCTCTTCGGCTGTATCGGAGGCTGCGTCCGATCATGTCAGGGGAGAGCTCGCCGGCGCGACGCCCGTCGCAACGCTGCTCCCGCTACAGGTGGCAACGTCCAATTGCAGGACGCGACACCAAAGTCGAATGCGGTGGTGGAGGGAAACAATACGGGGGTTGGCGCTGTGTGAACGGGACATTCCGGATATTTCGAACTTGATTGCGGGAGGGATCGGTTACATGACTCGGGACTCGGGATATATCGATGATAATGATACATGTCTAATTTCTAATTAATGTTTATATCAGCAGTGTGCACATCTCCCACGCAAAGACCGGAGAATGATGGAACACCGCCGTTGAAACGGTAGCGATTCTGGCAACGTTGCGTATGGCCACCAGACGTATGCGCCGAAGGGCTGAGTCTTGGGGAGAGTTATTATATCGTTTTGGGAATTGTTGTGTGTCTTGGGGCTTTGCTAATCTAGACTTCATGCGATTGGAGACTGGTGGAAGTGACGGAATTGCCGGGTCGATTGTGGGCCCAAAATGGTGTCTAACCTCCGGGCGCCAACGGCGGTGAGGGGTTGATGCGCGGGGTTCCGGCTGTTGAATAGTGACCCATCTCCCTCTCAATCGCAACTCATATCTAACCACCACAAATAGGCCCTCAATAATCGTATCCTAACCCCCCAGCGTGTTTTGCCCAAGCATCCTACCCACTCCATAGAATTGTTAAACGCCCCCCGGCCACAGCACGCAATGGCGACAGACTCTCCCAGCTTCGGCACAATCCCGCAGAACGCGCCAGGGAAGCCGGAACCCTTCACCCTCCGCGTCTCGGACGAGGACCTAGCCGACTTCCGCTCGCTCCTCCGCCTCTCCAAGGTCGGCCCAGCGACGTGGGAGAACGGCCGCGGCGACGGCAGCCTCGGGGTCACGCGCGACTGGCTCGCGGGCGCCAAGGACGCCTGGCTGGACAGCTTCGATTGGCGCACGCACGAGGCGCACATCAACTCGTTCCCCAACTTCAAGCTGGCCGTCCAGGACGCCGAGTGCGGTGGCGAGCTGGACGTGCACTTCGCAGCGCTGTTCTCGGCCCGCCCCGACGCCACACCCGTCATCTTCATGCACGGCTGGCCAGGGTCGTTCCTCGAGTTCCTGCCGATCCTCGACCTGCTGCGCCAGAGGTACACGCCTGAGACGCTGCCGTTCCATGCTGTCGTCCCATCGCTGCCCGGCTATACGCTGTCGTCGGGCCCGCCTGTTGACAGGGACTTTACGCTGCGGGACGCCGCGCGGGTGTTGAATCGGCTGATGGTCGACCTCGGGTTTGGTGGCGGATACGTCGCGCAGGGCGGGGATGTCGGCTATTTCTTGGCGAGGATCATGTCGGCCACGTATGATGAGTGCAAGGCGTTGCATGGTGAGTCTCGTCGAGGTCGCGGGAATTGGATCGTCTTCATTGTGCTCACATGGAAATGACAGTCAACTTTCTGTTCCCCGGTGCTGGGGACATGCCGAAGACATACGAAGGCCTTTCCGAGCAGGATGTTCGTCATATTGAACGGACGAAGCATTGGCGAGCTACCGGCAGCGCATATTCCTTGGAACATGGCACCCGCCCTGCGACCATCGGCTTGGTCTTGTCTTCGAGCCCACTTGCTCTGCTGGCTTGGTAATAAACCCCCCGGAGTTGTGTAGTTCTCCAGACGGAATACCCCTTTGATTTGGTGCTGACAGACGTAACAGGATCGGCGAGAAGCTCCTCGAGTGGGTGGATGAGCCCCTGCCGCTTGACACTATCCTACGCATGGTCAGCCTCTACTGGTTTACGTCAACCTTTCCAAGGTGCATCTACCCATACAGGAGCATACTTGCAAGCCACACCAAACCCCTTCCGATTTCCAGGGAGAAGCCGCTGGGATACTCGTATTTCCCACAAGAGCTGGCCGGCCTGCCCGAAGCCTGGGACTCGCTGTTTCCAAATCTGAAATTCCGCTCCAGTCATAGCAAGGTAAGAGGCCCCGTTTTCGGATATGTTCAGGTGGGAAGCGGCTGACCATATTTCCAGGGCGGGCATTTTGCTGCTTTGGAACAGCCTGAGGCGCTCTTGGGAGACGTGGAGAAGTTTGTGAAGCTCGTTGGGCCTATTCAGGGGACAGCCTCTGAGTGATCATTGCTGTTCTTGTGGATGAAGGATAATCCCAACTTGGAACTATCAAAATAATGACGAGGCCAATTTCTACCACTGAGATTGCATTGGATCAGTATGTAATTAGGCAAAGCATAATTAACTACTCTTCCTACATCGCTCTCAGCACACGTCCGGCCACTTCAGCAAGGCCAGAGATTATTGCTTAGCCTCAGCCAATCCCCTATACACCTCCGCCTCAACATCCACCCACAGCCCCAAGACCTTCGCGTCAGCAAAAGGCAAAATCTGCGTGGAAATCATACCAGCAACTCCCTTCTCCCTGTCGCACCACCACCACAGATTCGGCAGCCCAGCCCAGTGGACAGTCCCCTTGGAGCGGCCTGTGCCCCCTCCGCCGGAGATCATGAAGGTAAGACCCCAACCCTGCGGCGGCCGGCCCTCCACGGGGTACAGCTCCGGGATGGCGTTGGTCAGGTCCGGCTTCGCCGCGGGGATGGCCTGCCGGCCGAAGTCGGGGAAGTCCGCGATCTGGTTCCGGAACATCTCGTCGACTGTGTCCTTGCCGAGGAGCTGCACGCCGGTGCGGGGGCAGGTGCCGTCGTTGAGGAGGACTGCGAGAATCTCTTTTGGGGGGGGGGGGGGGTAGTGTGAGTCTATGAAGATAGGAACGGGGAGGGGGGGAAGGGGGGAACCTTACTGCAATACTCTTGCGGCTTTGCAAACATGCCGCCGCCACCGCTGTTGAAGCATCTGGCGATTTCCTCCTTGCTGCGGACAATGAGTGGCTGCCGCAGGAGGTGATCTCTCGGCCTGAGGGTGCCGTCGTTGTCTCTGGAGTGCATGTACGCCAGATTTGACCTCATCGTCTCCGTGGGAATCATGGACATGTTGTGGAGACCAAGGGGCTGCAGGATATGCTCCTGCATGTAGTCATTGAGTGAGACTCCGGTGACTCTCTCAACGGCGATGCCCGCCCAATCAATATTTACCTGTTTTGAAATGTTAGAATCTCAGAGGAACTACGATGTACGGTGCCTGGCAACGGCAGCCATCAACCTACCCCGTATTCCCAGCCTTCGCCGGGCTGGAAGACCAATGGCTGGATCATATCCTCGAGGCGGCCTGAGAACTCGTCCGCGCCCACAGGAAGATTCCAATCCCGCAACCTTTCGTTGAAGAAGGTGTACCCAAACCCAGCAGTGTGCGACAGCAACATGCGGAGGGTGATCTGCCTCTTCTTCTCCTCGAAGCTCCCATCCGGCCTCAGCACCTTTAGGTCCGCCAGCTCGGGGCACAAGGCCTCGAGCTGGCCGCCGTCGTCCAGTCTCAACAGGCCCCGCTCCACGAGCTGCATGCACGCGACACCTGTCAGCATCTTGGTGCACGACGCGATCCAGAACACGCTGTCGAGAGACATGGGCTGGTCCGACGCGAGGCCTCGCTTCCCGGCCGAGTGCGCAAACAGCTCGTTGCCATCCTTGTCTATGACCACGACCGTCGCGCCGGGAATCCCGGTCTGCTGGTCGGCGCAGGCCGATTCGGTGATGGCCCGAAGTTTGCCGAGGGTTGGTTCTGGGAGAGGCATCTTGTGGGGTTGTCCAAAAGGGGCTATTATACAGTTATAGTGTACTATGCACTCGGGATATCAATCTGGGGGAGAGAAGCTGGGTAAGACGCCGGAGCACCAGGCGCGGAGACGATATATATTCGCACCATAAGAGCCCTGATGACGTGAGTGGACCATCGAATCAGAACCCATCGCCGGCTTCCGCAAGCCATTAGGAATTCCGGCTACCCCGCATCTCGGCCCACTTGGAACAGAGGGTTATGCGGATCCGTACGAAGTGCGGAGATGTTTTGCATCTTGGCGTTGACACAGAGGTCGATTGATCTGAGGACTTTACGTCATCGTGTATCGGCTTTTACCGCGGCTACTTTCGTCTTATAAACGAATAGAAGGGTAAAGGGATTATTAGTCAACCTGGTTGTGTGAAGTTACAGAAGAGGCTCGATTGTATTTCGGCTCCTCCCTCAAACGCAAGCTTGGTAAAACATCACACATCAACTTATGTTCCAGGTCAATAGTATTACACCCGTTTCTAGTTCTCTGCTTCTTTAAGTTTTTGTTTTGATGCTCGCCTATCTAGATTAATCAGGTTGGGAATTAAAGAGAACTCCGTTGTTCAGGGGGAATTATTCGTCCCTCGCCGCCGAAGTGCCCCTATTTACGCTATGGATGCATGGGGCTAGAGGCCTCCCAGCTGCTCTTGCGACGGGGCAATCTCCATTGCGCCTTATGAACCGCGCCCACAGCCGCCGACGTGCTCACGCCTCGCCTCAGCATTTCCAACGCGGCAAAGCTGAACCCAACCACGGTAGCCTACTCTGTCTCCTTCTACATTGCGTCTCATTGTCTGGCAAGAACGAACTCCAATGAGGAGATTCGCAAAGCTTGGTGATCGCATCAAGATTGTTGCCCATCGGCACCATGCCGACAAGACAGGCGCATCCAGCAGCGCGCCCAGTCAAGGGGAGCCTGATCATGGCGGCGCTGTCGAGCAAGGGCATGCCTCCTCCGGCCATGCTCCGACGCAAGCGAACCGCCCCTCGGAGACCTCCACCCCCGAATCCAATACAGTGGAAGGAATCGACGGAAATGAGCCGACCGTTGAGGTGGCCACGGTGACGGCGGAACCCCGCACCACTGCTCCGACGACGATTCCGCCAATCTCAGAGCTCTGGGACGAGGCGTACGACGAACTGAAATGTCGTAATACTGAGTTGGTTGAAGAGTATGAGGCTCTGATTACAGGCTCTACAGACGCGAGCGCTCGGGACGAACGACACCGAAAGATGTAAAAGTTCATCGAGCAGAGGGCGGAGGAGATAGAGAGCAATAGATGGAAGTTCAAGTTCATGGATCACCAGTTCATGGTCAAGGATTTCGTCGCGCCAGTGATAAGCATCGTTGCGAGTGAGTTATCCCCAGCACTTTATATGCAGAATCCTCCGAAGCTGACTCCAGTATCTCAACCCGAACCTAGTGGCAAAGGACTATGTCGGCGAGGCTGTAGAGCCCTCTCCCGCGGCGTCGATTGCGTGGACTGGTGTGTGCTTGCTACTGCCTGTACGTTCCCTCCGGAGGCTTGTTTGCGCGTCCCTTTCCGTTACTGATTGATGGCGATAGGAAAAACTTTTTGTGCTCTCTCACGGGTATCCAGCCATCGGTCAACTATAACGAGGCCCGCAAAAAAACATGGCAGCCAGACCACCGCATGGCTGGTAGAGGAGAGCACAGAATTTGCAGACTGGAAGAGCAGGGCCAACTCTCTTCTGTGGATTCATGGCAAAGGTCGGTAAACACTCTCATCGAATGTTCGGGCTGTCTGGGAGAGCTCTGCTGACAGATGTTGATATGATAGTTGGAGCCGGGAAGTTAGTGCTGAGATATGAGAGACACACTCGAGACAGACTGGGTCGACAGGATGCTAATTACAATCGGAACTACCTAGCTCGTCCGTTATTTCCCATATCCAAGATGCCTGCAAAGACGACCCGCACAAGGCACTGGCCTACTTCTATTTCAGCTTCGCCAATGAGAAAAAGCAGACCAGAGGCGGCATGCTCCGGTCCTTGATCCGGCAGCTCTGCGGCAGCCGGCCGGACATACCCGAACAGCTGCGAGAGCTCCGGCGGCTGCGCGACATGAACCACGAGCCTGATGAAGGGGAGCTCGAAGAGGCCCTTCGGGCGACGTCGCAGGGCTTTTCGGAAGTGTTTCTCGTCATCGACGCTCTCGACGAGTGTCCGACCACGGGAGACGAGCGGCGCGGGCTCCTGAAACTGCTCTGCCGGGTGCACGGGTGGGGGCTGCCCAGTCTTCATCTGTTCATCACTTGCCGGTTTGAGCGGAACATCTCGCAAACCTTGGCGCCGCTGTTCTGTCAGCTGTCGGCCGTCATAATTCCCCTGGACCAGCGTCCACAGGAGGTCAACAATGATATCAAGACCGTCATCGAGGCGGAACTTGCTTCGTCGACGTTTGAGTCTTGGCCACAGGAGACGAAGGACAAAGCTAGGGCAACTCTGGTGGAAAAGGCCGACGGGATGTATGTTTTATTTTATTTTCTGGCTTCTACCCGATATATCGGTTCTTTGGCTGACCATGCCCTGCCGGGCAATAACAGGTTTCAATACGTTACCTTGTACCTCTAGGCGCTTCGGACTATCAAAACCAAGGCCGCAGCGGAACATGCCTTGGCGAATTTGCCGGCAGACCTTGACGCCACTTACGATCGGGCACTCGTGGCTTCCCCGGACTGGCCAAAATCGTTCCGCGCCTTGGCCTAGCTGGCGGTCGCCGAGCGGGACGTCAGCCTGTCACAAGCTGCGGAAACCATGGTGATAGGCACAGGCGCCTCTATTCCGTTCGACAAAGATGAGCAGCTTTTCAACTAAACAGAGGCGTTGAGCATACTTCCTGCCGGCCTTGTGACGATTTCTAGGTCACCCTTTTCGAGCCTCTTTCTCTCCCATTTCTCTGTCAAGGAGGACCTGATGTCTGAGCGCCTCAAGAACGGCCCGGCTGCCGAGTTCGCACTTGGGAACATGACGGTCCACCGCCTGGTCGTCGAATCTGCTCTTGCATACATGTTATGCGCCAGCACGGATATATTCCGCGTAAAGACAGACTATGGAATCGATTCGTGGAGCATCTTATTCCCTTTGTGGAATCTTGCCACCTCAACGGGTTGTCAAGCCCTCAAAATTGCGCTGTCTGAACACGGGGCCCAGGGCCTCGAAACTCTGGTAAAACAGGTTTTCGCACCCGGGAGCCGCGCGCTCGTCTGCCTCGCCGAAGACCGCGGTTGGGGTTCTGGGGCGACGGGGATAACTCCCTCGTTTTTATTGCCTCGTTTCACGGCCAGCTTACGCTACTAAACCTGGCGACACACTTGATATGTCAAGGAGCGGAGGTAAACACGGTATTTGAGAGCTACGCGGGTGGCACAGCCTTGAATGCCGCCTGTGCGAACGGCTTCACATCCATGGTCAAGCTGCTCCTTGAGAGTGGAGCCGATCCGTACCTTGTCAGCATCGACATCCCCTGCGCATTAATCGTTGCCACGCAGTTTCCGAATGAGGATATTTTTGAGCTTCTTCTGCAAGACCCCCGAGCAATGGAATACTGCAGGGCCAACGACCTGTTCCCGCTAAACTCCTTATGCAGAGAGGTACATGATACTACAATAGATCATGGTACCTTTCTGGAGGGGTTCAGACCAGTCGTCAAGCTCCTAATCGAGCACGGAGCCAACATCAATGGGCGCGATAAATATGGCTTGACGCCCCTGTATTGGGTCGCCAGATGCTTGATCTACCTGGACAGTAGGGTGTCGCCGGGGCCTAGATCACTATCATTATGTGGCCACTTGCAGTTCTTAATCGACCAGGGAGCCGAAGTCAACGCCTGGTGCGGCGAATTCGGAAACGCGCTGCAGTGCGCGGCAGCGAGCGGGTTCGGCGAGGGCATGAAGCTCCTACTGCTCAGCGGTGCTGAGGTCGACCTGCCGGGGGAGGAGTGGGATGCATTTCTCAAGGATGTTTACCCAACGTACATCATTTATGTCGGAAATTACGAGCCTGCAAATGCCTGGCCACGCGAAGAGGAGGGTTGGATCCACCGGCTCTGGGCTCTCCAAATAGTCTTTGGCATGGAGAGCCACAAGCAAAGCAGGGACGAGGGCGATGACGAGGTTGTACGAGTCACCAACGGCCTGGAATACTGGAGAGCGCTCGTCAACTACGTCAAAACCGGGGACGCGGAACTGGCCTGCCGTGGGAAGTGGTTGGTTGGCCGATGCCCGACATGAGCACGTGGCCCATCCCGAATGACAGCGACGATGATGCTAGACCGGATTATATCCGAGTTACGTCGGAGACGATACTACCAGAGTTGGCATGGAATCTTGGGGGGGAGGGGGTTGAGGCACTTCAATGACTTCGAAATGGAAAGGTGCAATGGTACTGCTTGCTGTGCTTATACTCCTCGAGGCACCACTGCCTGCTGCAGCCGAATTATCGTCCAGCGTGGTCAAGAACTGGCCCCTCGCCTCGCCGTCAGCACGCAACCTGGCCAGGAAAATATCCCCCTTGGAGCATGTTGCGGCATCGCATGGATTATTCGAGCAGCATCCTAGGAAGGGCGAGTCTATACTCTAGCATGTTGGCGCACTCCTCCGGTAGGATATCCTTGAACTTGTCCGCCGCAAATGACACATTGCCGAAGTCATCCTCGGGGCACAGTGCGGAGCCGTCGACACATGGATGTATAGCACAGCATCCGTTAGGGACAATGTCTTGGCAGATTAGAAAGTCCCGCCGCTTGGGCAGTTCAGGCTGAATGTCTTGAACGGGTTCGGCATTTGCCTGGCTACCAGGACGTAATATAAAGGTAAACCGGAGAATTTCACATATGGAGTAAGGAAGCTTGTCCCTGTACTGTTGCGGGCCGCAGAAGTTTATTTCTCTCCGAGATGCCGGTTAGACTGGGTGGGTTGTTTCATGGCTGAACTTAAATCAACCCCCTCAGATCATACTATATGTTCATTTTGCCGAATAGTGCATGATAGAGGCAATGACTTTCATATTAAATGGTGGTACAATAGCACCTGCATTTAAGACAATGATTCTCCTGGCGATCCGGGGTAAATCACGTATCGGAAATAAAAGCCTGAGCGAGCATGTTTGTTATCCAACTATTGGACAAGACTGCGAAGATCCCAGGTCCCTGAATACGAATCCCGAACTTTCTAGAAACTAAGTGACCGGGTCGCAACTCTAACGCCACTGCCCAAGGTTGGCTACGTCCGGAATAGGATCACACTGGGGAAGATCCTTAGCTGAAAGAGACTGGGGATTCCTTGCACGGATTTCTAGAAGGAGAAGGAACTTGGAAAGAAGGGGTGCATGTACTTATACTACCTGCCAATCCCACCGCGGGCACATTTGTAGATGATTGGTACGGGTCAGGATATGAGACGTATATCGCTTTGTGAAGACCTTGGGCGAGGGCTTGCATATGAACCTTTTTGGTTCCGATCATCGTCGCGATAATCAGCAACCCGGTTTTCGGCTCCAAATCCAAGGATTCACTCGGATCCGCCATGGCTGGTTTTCTGTCCCTGTACATAGGAATGGTTAGTCATATCTTCCAACGTGTCCCCCTCGTCGCCGGCTGAGACGATTAGGCATTACAAAGTCGCAACAGTCCAATTGAGCGCAGTGATCCCATGTGTCCCTGCTGTCGATACTTGACCTGCACTGGTGCCCTTAACGTTATCATCGCTGCGTACAAGTTCCTTGATTAGTAAGAACTCTAGATACTTTGGAAACTTGTCTTTCGAAGCAAGCCAGAAATACCAACAAGACATAAGATCAGCACCCATTTGCAGGCCTTTGCTACCCCTGCAGGATTAGGTTCCTTTGTGGCTTCGTGCTTGGACAATTATTGGCTGAGTTCTGAAGGATTCGAGGGCTCAGCCACACGTCTCACGCAGGATTTGCAATCTCACATCAGGTCCTATCTCCTGCGCGACACGATCATCCTTTCCTCTTGCGCTTCCCTTTTGACTCCAACTGCAAGTCTAGGGTTGGGGAAATGGTCATGGTGATGTCGCATATGGAGTTTGTTGGTTGAGAAAGGAGCGTGCATTTACTTCGCCTTCGCGTTTTCGTTTTTGCCGGTATTCCTCACTTCGTTCCCATTGCCGCTCTCCGATTCGCAAGGATGGAGGTTTCGCACGCCCACTACAGCCAGGAGCAAAAACCACAACAATTATATACTCCGATCCAGTCGGGCCTCGAAGTGGCGCCCCAACAAACCTCATCCTATTATCAATATCCTCCCCAGCAAGGTGAGCGGACGATATTTGGACTTCGGAGGACAACTTTCTTCCTTAGTGTAGCCTTGGCAGTGGTCATCATCGCCGCCGCAGTGGGCGGTGGAGTAGGGGGGACACTTGCCGTCCAGAACGCGAGGAAGTAAGCGCCCGTCCCCGCCCTCGTCCTAATCAATCCTCGCGCACATCATCTAACCGCACCCCGCCCCCCAAACCAGCAGCGCTAAAGCGCCTGCCGCGACCACGACGGTCACCGTAACCGCGACAGTCGGGCAGTCAACGGGCACGACCTCCTCGACCGGCACAGCCTCCTCGACCGGCACGACCTCCTCGACCGGTACGGCGACGGCGACGAGCGGCCTCGTGGTCCCGACGGGCGTCCTGGCGCTCGACTGCCCGGCCCTCGCCAACGCCGGCACGCAGACGATCACACTGGGCGACAGCTCGTGGCACTTCACGCCCAGCTGCGGCACCGACTTTGTCTACCACGACATCGGCGCCGTCATCGTGTACTCGTTCCACGACTGCATGCAGGCCTGCGCGGCACACAACCACTTCTACGGGGAGAACCAGTGCGTGGTTGCGCACTTCTCCGCCGAGATGACCAATGCCATCGCGAACGATTACGGGAATTGTTGGTTGAAGAATGCGACGGAGACTGTGATCGTGGGGGGGGGGGACTTGGTTGCTAGTGCGCAGTTGGTGACCTAGTGAGGGTGAGGTTATCGATAGAGTGTCTATTCGCGAGTGAAGATATCCCATTTTGGTTGGCGTAGCATTGTGATTATAGCATGGTGTTAGTTGTCACAACGGGAATATAATTTTGGAGCGGGAGTTGGGCAGCATTGAATATTGACGCCAGCCCAACTGGGACTTGCCTCTTCGTCTTCCCCAATCTGACGCTGCGTGGCAAACAGCGGATGAGGCAGTTTAAAGACATCCTCTGAGAGATGTTGACGCGCTTTAACGGGATGATTCTGCAGTACGAGGCTGATTCTGTTGCTGAAAGGATCCTCCAAAAATTTAAATTTATTTCTCTTTACCTATCCCTAACTATGTCCTGCATCTTTCGATGTGTTGGTTCGCTATTCCCCATACCTCGATGAACATAGCTTTTGTTGGGGTGAGAGAGCCGAGGAAGCTCGTGGGTGATGCTGCTTGGGAGGCAACGGTCCCTAGCGAGCCAAGCGCCCTTGCTCCCGCAAACAGTTGACCAGTCGGTCTGCAAAGACGTCGTCATTCGGCACGCGCATCGTCTGTTCCCCATACCACTCCCGCACCGCCGCTTCTGTCATGCGCCCCACCGAGGCCTCACACAGCCGGTACTGTATTCCCCGTCGACGAGCTTTCTCGTTACCCTCCCTCAATGCATCCGAAACCGCCTGAGCCAAACCCACCCAAGTCTCCTCCCGCATCGGTGCGGGCATGACAATTCCGACGTCGACGATCTCCCAGTCATCCATCGTGTAGTGTCGACCAAACCTTACCCATTTTGCCCTCTCCGGCAAGACACTCCCTACCAGCTGATCGATACGATCGCCGCGACGAGTCCTCGTCTCCGTCACCTGAACCCAGCAAAATTGGCTCTCCCGCGGCGTGTTCTCAGACATGATTAAATCCTAGGAAGTTTGCGAAAGGCGTGTTGTAATTAGAATCGATCTCCGAATGGCCGTGAACAATGCATCAGTGCTTGTTCGGGGTAAAACAGTTCTTTGGAAGTGGTGGCTCTCACAGTCAATTTATAGTAAAATGTATGGCTTGAAACTGGTGGGACATGGTACAATATTAGTCTGGGAATCAGATCCTATCGGTTAGTGAACTCCTTACTTGGAAGTCAATTTGCAGCCGTTTTGTGGCTGGATGTTGGACAGTCCATCAAGCGTTCCTCATCCCGAGACGTAACTCTGTCATGGGATATGAATGTCTAGTACGCCCGTCAATCACATCGTCACCCATAGAACCCTCTAGGTAAATTACCTGGGGAAAAGAACGCTACAATCGGCCCCAGCAAAGTTACTGGCGTCGCAGCTCACAGCCAGCTCTGCCTAGAATTTGCTGCTGTTCTCAAACAGGCCCGATAAAAAGAGAATACTTAACTACCTCGCACGAGTCTGGGCTACATACAACACCGACCAAGTGGTGCCCTATTCTGTGGTGCCCTATTATGTGCAGCTGGTCCCCATTCCCATCGTACCACCCTGTTTACCGCCTCTGTCTACGTTATTTTTCGGCCGGCTTACCATCAGCCGCAAATCGTCAACACATGCCTGGAATGTGTGACAGGAACATCCACTTTATCGGATCACATCCCGAAGATGATGTGACGTCAAAGTGATTGTGCATCACGTGGCACCATGACACATATCATGAACTACCCCTCCCGCCTGACGACCTGTTGACATATTTCCGCGGAGGCGCTCGCTTTAAAATGAAACGCGCTCTTCGATCAGATGTTCACGGAAACCACCCTCTTCTCTCTGACTGATTCACGACATTAAGAAGAAATGCCCACACTCACCCGAATCCATTTCTATTTCCATTTCCCTCGGGCAACCAGTCCAAGAGCACTCAGCTCCAGACTCGGAACAGTCCACTACCATCCTGGGCGCATCTGCGCGCTCCACAGCTCCTCGCGCCTCCACAAAACCCTCGACCCCATCTCCAGCACCGAGCCCTCCACCCTCGGGGACCACCTAAGCGCCCAGCAATGGCTAAAATGGCAGCACTGCCACACCCAGGACGTACGGCTCGCACCACGAGCCACGCACGCCCAAGTTGCGGCGGAACAGGTCCCCCTCCGCGCCGCCTACGCGGCCTCGGACGATAATATAACCCGCCGTAGATCGCCCACCGAGAGCGAGGAGGACGTCGTGGCCGACAGGTCCGACGACGACCCGTTGCCCCCCGGGGCGCACCATACCATCCGCCTGCCCGCCGGCGAGGCGGCGCCGCGGCCTACCGAGTCGGAGGAGGATGTCGCGGCTGATAGGTCCGAGGATAATCCGTTGCCGCCGGGGGTGCGGGGGCCGGTGTGAGTTGGGGAGGTGGCGGGGATTGGTCTGCTGTATCTGTTTGTTCAACGCCGCTGGGTCAATGGCAGCAGCGTTGGGTTTCGCAAACTTGACCGGGTTGGACTGATGGAGCTAGGTTTTTGGCCATATATTGGATATAATCGACAAGTGTTAATAATCTCACCGCTGGAAAGGAGTTGAGCCTTCAATCCTTGCTGCTGGGGTTATGCGTATCAACTCATTTCTCAGCCCATGGTTACAAGTCCAAAATCCCCTTACAATTAACCTGCAGGATATGTGAGTTGGTAAAGACCGAATGAAGTATATACATGGTGAGGTTGTTCACTCAGAGCCAATCACCAAAATAAATGCAACGGGTGGCTTGAGGGGGAATCATGGCGATGTTGCTTCCTCCGTCTTCATACGCCTCTGATATCTCACCTCTCGCACTTGGCTACATGCAGGTAGAATAAAAGACAAAACAACAGCTGCCTTGCTAAAGCTTACGAAGAGAATCCCACCACCTTTTTTGCACCAAGCACTGAACACTACGCGTCGACACAGATATAGTATCCAGCCTCGGATTCCGGGTCGTCACAGTCAAGCTAGACCACTGGTTAGCGGGGCAGTTCGTTCACAGGACCAGGAGAAGACTTGAGGACTCACATTCGGGTTCCACTCGTACAACGTGTCAAGTGAGATGCCATATCGGAGGACGACCCGCAGACACGTGTCTGTTGCCTTGAACTGGTAATAGGTTTGGCCTAGCAAAAAGTCACACGTGGTTAGCCAAAGGAACATGTCCGCCCCCTCCCGCCAAAACTTACATCTGCTATTGGTGCCGTAGATAGTCGGCCTCGGCCTCGCCGGCGCAGCAGTCGACGGGGCATTGGCCGCGGCGGCCGTAACGGTCACGGTCCGTGCCGGGGCGGTGACGGTCCTGGCCGGAGCGGTGACGGTCCTGGCGGCGCCGGTCACGGTGACGGTGACGGTCCGGGCGGAAGCGGCGGGGGCGGTCTTGACGGCGGTGACGGTGGCGGTGGAGACGGTGAGGAGGGTGACGGTCTCGGTCTCGGCAGCCTCGCAGGCCGGCTCGCCGCCGCCGCAGGTCCCGAACGCCGGGTTGCACCCATCGCCGCAGTATTCGGTCGTGCTGCCGCAGAAGCCGTTGGCCGAGCAGCATTCGCCGTACACGGAGCCCAGGCACGTGTACTTGCCGCCGCAGACGCCCTCGCTGCCGTCGGGGCTCGGCACCAGTGTCGACGCCGCCGCCGGCGGCGCGCTGGCGCTGCTGCTGCTCTTGGGCGGTGGTGGCGGGGCCGCCGTGCTGCTGCTCTTGGGCGGCGGCGGGGCCGCCGCCGAGCTGCTGCTGCTCTTGGGCGGCGCCACGGTGGCGGTGGCGGTCGCCGTGGGGGAGGCCGGCGCGGGCGCGCCGCCGGCCTTGTCGCTGACGCAGTATTTGTTCCCCGCCGTGAGGACGCAGCTGACCAGGTCCGGGTTGAGCGCCTTGAACTGGTCAATGTCGATCCCGTACTGGTCCGCCAGGGTGCCACACGAGTCGCCGGCCTTGGCAGTCACGTTGGTCGTGCATGGGCCGGCGCCCAGCACCGAAGTGGTGCACAGGGCGGCGGCCAAGAGCAGGAGAAGGCTTGATATCCGCGGGTAGGGCATTTTAGCGTCGGGTTCGAAGACTCTTGGGGGCTGGGCAGGTCTGATTCCGCTTGGGCCACAGAAATCTTGCTCCCACTGCCGGTGTTCTTATAGTTTTTGTCAGGCCCATCCCTGGCCTTGCCAAACTCTAAAATACCCGGGATAAGATGTGTCATGGTAATACTAGGCCCTCCAGTCGCAAAATTCCCCGCATACGTCCAGTAACGGACCCTAAAAGGGAGGGGATTTGCGCAACTGCCGGTCTAGAACGTAGGAGCAACCCGGCACTCTCCCGGCCGTTCCTGGGGTAATTCACTTAGCCTTCCCCGCCCTCCACAATCTCTGTCTCGAATTCCCGGCGCCTGGAGTGTTGTGTCTGGGGTCGGGAAGAGGAATTTGCCACGGAGTTGTGGCTCCGTCCGTTTATACAGCCAGACATATCAGACGATTCACGATGGCTTCCAACCCTCAACAGAGGAACTCGGGCAATCCAATTCGGGGTCGGCTATTTTCTTGAGTGGTTTTATTCCAATGCCGACACGGGATTTGTCAATGCTCAGTTCATAGCGCAGAATCTGGGGAAGTTGGGATATTCCGGAATTAGCCAGCAACCACGACGACCCTATTGGACCGGCAGCTGCGAGGTAACGTGTACTCGGTCTTCCCTTTCTCACGAGCTTCGTCTTTGCTATATAATAGCGATATCTCTTGCGGAGCAGCCTATTGGAGACCAGACTCAACCGGTCGCCGTTAAGCTTCACAAATTGTCACTTTAACCTTGTGAGAGTTGGGAAACTGGGTAACCGTTTGTGCCTAAGCGATGTGCGATAATCGATGTGCCATAGAGAAGAGTTGTTGTGCGACCGCAATATCCTCCACGTCCTCATCCACTTTGAACACAAGCGACTTCTAGACATCTTCCAGCGCCAGACCAGGCCACGACGATTTGTAGCCCATTGCCCATATGGGACTTGGTAAATTGGGGCTAGAAGGGATCCAGGTATTTATCCAAAGCTGCGCTGCTGGCATCGCATTTAGTTAGCAATATACTATGCAATATAGACAAGACCATTATACACGGTCCTAGGGGTTCTGTTTTCCCTTCTCTTCAGCCTTCCAATGGTGGAGAAATGCCAGCGAATTTTCTGTGTGAGCGTGGTTCTGACCTAGTGTTTTCTGCAGGCCCTCAAAACAATCCTCCATCATGTCGATAGCAACTTGACAACGCCCCTGATAATACCAGGTTACTGCTAGGTTACTCATGCTAGTCAGTGTGTATGGATGATCAATGCCAAGCATTCTCTTCCTGATCTCCAAGACCTGCACCTCTAGCTTCTCAGCCTCATTCCATCGGCCTTGGTTCCAGTAGGTTAACGCTAGGTTGTTCATGCTAGTCAGTATGTCTG